TCCCCTCTTAGGTGACCTCTATGAAAGGGTCATTCAACACCCCACCCCACCCCCCACTCCCCCACCCTTGTTGAGAAATGCTAACCTAAAATGAATTTCCAGGAATTAACCAAGCTTGCTAGATCATGCCTCTAATCCCAGAACAGATGAAAATGAAGCGGGAGTATGAATATAATTTCGAGGCCAGTCTGTACTATACAGTTAATTCCAGGCTAGTCTGGGGTATACCATGAGGTCTTACCCAATAAAGGAAGCCCAAAAATAAATAAATAAAATCCCAGGAACTGAATAAAAGGTGCCAAATTTCTTTGTTACTTTACTCTTACAGGGATTAACTCCATAGAAGGAAGAATGGATCCAGGAAGGGAGGCTTCTCTTGACCTGTCCTCCCTGTCATGTGGTCTTTCTTGGTCCCCTGAGCAGCTTGAGCAGGGGAGGGGAAAGTCTCTGCCCACACGAAGATGGCAGGAGTACTATGCAGAGTTTCTATGAGAAACATTGTTTACTGACTCAGACACTGTGAGCTTGTCCTTACCAGTATGCTGGAGATCCAGCTTCCATTAACCCAGCCTTGAATGGGGAATGTTGCCTTTTACTCTGTTGTTTGTGTGTTGTTTGAGATAGGATCTCTCTACAAAGCCCTGTCAGTCCTTGGACCAGGCTGACCTTGAAGCCCACCTCCCAAGTGCTGGGATCAAAGGCATGGGTCATCGTGCCCAGCTTGCCTCTTTGGAGGCAGCCGTGCTGAGCCTGTGCGTGTTTGTTTATATGTGTGTTTCTTTGAGATAGGGGCTGGGTTTGAGGGTTGGAACTTACAGTCCTGTCTGAGACTCTCAGGTACTGGGATTTCAGGCCAGTGCCACCCAGTCAAGTTGTTGACACACTCCCAAACCCCAGCTGTCCTGGACTTGCTTTATAGACCAGGCTGGCCTTGAATTTAGAGATCTGCCTGCTTCAGCCTCCCAGGGTTAAAGGCCTGCGCTGCTTCCTTTTTTTTTCCTTCGAGACAGGGTTTCTCTGTGGCTTTGGAGGCTGTCCTGGAACTATCTCTTGTAGACCAGGCTGGTCTCAAACTCACACAGATCTGCCTGCCTCTTCCCTCCCGAGTGCTGGGATTAAAGGCGTGTCATTCACGCCTGATTCACCTTTTTAAAAGGAGATAATTTTGTTGTTTTTGTCCTTTTTGTGATGGGGTCTCATACAGTTGCTGGATTGTTGGTCTGTTTTTTTTTTTTTTTTTTTTTTTTTTGTGGATGGGTGTGTTGTCTGTCCCCAGAGACCAAAAGAGGGCATCAAATCCCCTGGGACTGGAGTTACAGATGGCTGTGAGCCACCATATGACTGGTGGGAATTAGACCTTGGGTCCTCTGGAAGGGCAGCCAATACTCTTAGCCACTGACCACCACCTTAGTCCCTTGTTTGTTTTGTGAGACAGTATCTCATAAAGAGCTGTGAGATCCTATTTTTTAAAAAAGTAGGTGTAAAGTAGTCTTAAAAAAAAGCTGCCTTCTTAGTGAGAGGAAGCACAATTGGGTTAGTCTTTTTTATTGTTTTCTTAGGTAAGGTTTCCTTTTTTAGATTTAGTGACTTTTATATTACATATGTGGGTGTTTTGCCTGCATGTATGTCTCTGCACCATGTATGTGCCTGGTGCCTTCAAAGGCCAGAACTGGAGTTCCAGATGTTGTGAGTTGCAGTGTGGGTGCTGGGAATTGAACTTAGGTCTTCAGGAAGGGCAACAAGTGCTCTTAGCCACTGAGCCACCTCTCTCGTCCCAGATAATGGTTTTTCCTTTTTTGAGACAGGTTTTCTCTGTGTAGCCTTGGCTGTCCTGCAACTTATTCTGTAGACCAAGTTGACCTCAAACTCACAGAGATCTGCCTGCCTCTACCTCCCAAGTACAGCACCACCACTGCCCAGCAAGATAAGGTTTCTTGTAGCACAGGTTGGCCTTGAGTTCCCAATCTTCCCCCCATCTCTCTAGTGCTGGTATGCCACCATACCTGGGTCAGGGTCAGTTATCTCATTCTGGTGAATGATACCCACCTCATTGCTACACTTGTCACTCAATGTTGGGTAGATGGGGCAAAGTTTGGAAATCTTGGTCCCTTGTGTGGTCTTATTACGGAGGTGCCATATTCACAGGGATCTAAAAGACTGTCCTGTGTGTTTCTTCTCACTATTCCCGTGTACTGAGATGCATTCCCTTTCTGAAATCAGGAGGTTTTTTTTTTTTTTTTTAAAAGATTTATTTATTATATACACAGTTTTCTGCCTGTATGACAGAAGAGGATACCAGATCTCATTACAGAATGTTGTGAGCCACCATGTGGTTGTTGGGAGTTGAACTCAGGACCTCTGGAAGACTAGCCAGTGCTCTTAACCTCTGAACCATCTCTCCAGCCCCTCAGGAGGCATTTTTGAAAGTCAACTTTGATCTTTTTGCGTCTGCAGTGCTTTTCCAAACCTGCTTCCTGCTGAGCTAGGAGACCAGAGACCAGAACATCTCACTCTACCCATGGAAACTCAGGCTGACCCTGCATCTCAGGAACCTCCACCCCTGCTAGAGAGTGGTAAGATACAGGGTTAGAAAAAGAGGGGGTTGTCCTCATTTTTTTCTGTTGTTTACTTGCTTGTGTTTTTTGTTTTCCTTTGAGACAGGGCCTCACTTTGTTGCCATGGCTAACCAGAAACTTACCATATAGGTTGATCTGAACCTCACAGAGATCCGCCTGCCTGTGCATCCTGAGTGCTGGGATTAAAGGTTTGGGCCAGCACATTTGGTATGCTTGTTTGTCTTTTGAGACGGGGTCTCATTGCATAGCCCAGGGTGGTCTTGAATTTTCTAGATTCTTGACTTGTGTCTGGAGTGTTGGGTTAAACAAATGTCTATCCTCATGTCCTGCCTTGTTCTTTCCTCTCTCTCTCTCTCTCTCTCTCTCTGTGTGGGTGTGGGTGTGGGTGTGGGTATTGAGACAGTCTCACTATGCAGACCAGGCTACCCTGGAACTCTCAGAGATCTACCTGCTTCTGCCCCCAGGGTGCTGGGATTAAAGGCATGTGACACCACACCCAAACCAAAATAAACTTTTACTGGATTTCTTTTTTTTTTTAATTAAATTTATTTTGTGTGTTATGTGTATAGATGTGTATGCCACAATGCACCAAAGTTTATATGCAGAGGTCAAAGGGCAACCTCTGGAGCTGTTCTCTCCTTCCACCATGTGAGTTGTGGGATGGGCATCAAACTCAGGTGGTCAAGCTTTGTTGCAAGTGCCTTTACCCACTGAGCCATCTCACCTGCCCTGATCTCTTTGAAATGTTTTGTATTATCATATAGTAATTATATATAATACTGGGTTTTGTTACATTTTCAGACTGTTTTTTAAACATTAAAGAGTTGTGCACTTGGAGAGATGGCTCAGTGGGTAAAAGCTCTTGCCATGGAAGCATGAGGACGTGAGTTTAAATCCCAGAACAGGCTTTAAACCAGATGCATAGTAAGAATGTCTGTAATCCCAGCATTCCTATGGGGAGATGGGAGCTAGAGACAGGAGAATCCCCAAAAGTTCATAGGGCAGCTAGCATGGCATACATAGCAGAAAAATTACAAAGACGTCCAGTCTCAAACAAGGTAGAAGGCAGGGACTGGCACCTGAAGCTGTGCTCTGACCTTGTGTGCATTGTGGTTTGTATGTACCCACAGTCACACAGACTCCTACACACAAATTCCCCAAACATTAGAAAGTTGTATGGATCCAGGCAGTGCTAGCGCACGCCTTTAGTCCCAGCACTCGGGAGGCAGAGGCAGACGGATCTCTGTGAGTTCTAGGCCAGCCTGGTCTACAAAGCTACACAGAGAAACCCTGACTCACCCCCCCTCAAAAAAAAAAAAAAAAAAAAAAAGTTGTGTGGAGATAGGACTCATAGGGTACTTACTGGGTGTGGAACCCAGGGCCATACAGCTAACAGCTGCAGGGGTTAGCCTCAACAGCTATTGTTCCCACACTACTAGGAAAAAGCATTTAGAATCCATTTTGTCAAATCTGGTTATGTGTAGTGGGTTAGACCCTGAGAGACAAACACAAAACTTATGGCTGATGGGGAAGGTATGTGGTCAAGTGCTGAGCTAGGAAATATTTCTAGCATATAGATAGAGGTTTGGTCTTCAGGTGGGTGTTGTGTTTTCTGCCCGGACTTGAGGGAAGCTGCTCATTTTCCTCTGCCTAAAAATCTCCTAGAAGGGGGCTGGAGAGATGGCTCAGAGGTTAATAGCACTGTCTGCTCTTCCAGAGGTCCTGAGTTCAATTCCCAGCAACCACATGGTGGCTCACAACCATCTGTTATGAGATCTGGTGCCCTCTTCTGGTGTGCAGTCAGACATGCATGCAGAACACTATATACATAATAAATAAATCTTAAAAAAAAAAAAAAAAAATCTCCTAGAAGAGTTTGCAGTAATGGAAGGAAAATGAGAATGTAACTGGTCCCTGGCCCTGCTTGAAGGACAGGCATGAATAGTCAGAGGGGCTGCTGGTGTAGTTCAGTGGTAGAACGCTTGCTTAGCATGTGCAGAGATGTGACTTTGATCCCTAGCACTGCCAGGAAACAAGAGTATGCCATTCATGAAAGCAGAGACTGGGTGGTTTGACTCATGTCACCTTGGGTCAGAAAGCAGGCGGATTGATTCCTGACCCTGGTATTGTCCTTCAGCTCTTTCCTCTTCAAAAGTCCCTTCCTTTCCTGACAAGGACGGTCTGGGGCACGAGATGTTGGCTGCTGCACTTCTAAAGGCCAAATCCCAGGTAAGCCATGGTTCCCTTCATTCTTTCCCTTCTTGGTTTGTGAATGGATTTTGTAGAGTGACGTATCATTTAGTGCCCTAACCTCTAATCTGCCCATCAAAACCATGGTTCTGGGGCCAGTGAGATGACTCAGTAGGTCAAGGTGTTTCTGCTAGCTGGACAGTGGTGGCACAAGTCTTTAATCCCAGTACTCAGGAGGCAGAGGCAGGTGGATCTCTGAGTTCAAGGCCAGCCTGGTCTACAGAGCGAGTTCTAGGACAGCCAGAGCTATACAGAGAGACCCTGTCTCGAAAATCAAAAACAAAAAATGGTGTTTACTGCCACCTGGGTTCAATCCCTGGGATCTGCATGTTAGAAGGAGAGAACTGACTATCACAGATGGTCCTCTATCCTCCATATGTGTGCAGTGGTACCCCTCCCCCAAATAAATAAATGTTAATAAACATTATTTCCATTATGGACTCTTGGAAGGCAGTTACGCTCCTCACTATACTGTTGATGCTACACCCTGTTTTGGATGCTCATGCTGGCATTGCTCTGACCTCTGCCCACATTCCAAAAAGGTATTACTCAGCCCCATCCTGCTTGCTGTTTGGTGCTGCCGGTCTTGACCCACGTGTGGTCATGTGGCTGTTTCAGGAGTTGGTGACATTTGAGGATGTAGCTGTGTACTTCATCTGGAAAGAGTGGAAGCGTTTGGAACCTGCACAGAGGGACCTCTACAGGGATGTGATGCTGGAGAATTATGGGAATGTGTTCTCACTGGGTAAGGACTTGTACTGACCACCTCAACAGAACATGCTTCTTTCTCTAGGCTTCAGGGTTTGCTAGTGGCAGTGGAATCTTAGAAAACTTTAATAATGGTGCCAGAGAGATGGCACTTTCTGCTCTTGCAGAAGACCCAAGTTCAGTTTCCATTACTCTCATGGATGCTCTCAATTGTAACCCCATTTCAGGGGATCTGAAGCCATCTTCTGGCCTCAGGTGGCACCAGACACACACACATGGTGCACACATGCATACAGTCATGCCATTAAAAATAAATAAATTTTAAAAAAGAAAACTAGTAACAGTAAGAACGATAACTCACATTTCCTTGCATTTAATCCTCACAGTAACTCCATAGTTGAGGTGGTTAGTATTTTATAGGTGTGGAACATGAGGTCAAGAAGTACAAAATCAGGGCTGGAGAGATGGCTTAGTGGTTAAGAACAATGACGGCTCTTCCAGAGGACCTGAGTGCTAATCCCTGCACTCACACGGCAGCTCACAACCTTCTGTCGTTCCAGTTCCTAGGAGTGTGATGCCCTCTTCTAGCCTGCACAGACACCAGGCATGGATGTGACGACACATACATACATACATGCATGCAGGCAAAAAAACACTCATCTATGGAAAACAAGCAACAAGACCCTTAGAAACTCCTCGGGCATGGGGGCATACACCTGTAATCTCGGCACTTGAGAAGTAGAGGCAGGTGGACCAGCTGTTGCATGCTCATTACATAATGGGTTTGAGACCACCCTTGACTGCAGGAGACCCTGCCTCAAACAAACAAGCAAATGGACACTTTTAGCATGGTAATAGACTTATAAATGATGAAGCTTGAGTTCCAGGGTTTGGTATTTGTTGTTGTTGTTGTTGTTGTTGTTATTTATGTATTTGGATCTGTCTGTCTGTCTGTCTGTCTGTCTGTCTGTCTATTTGAGACAGGGTTTCACACTGCAGCCTATGCTGGCCTGGGACTCATTAAGTAACCCTTGCGCTTCAGCTTCTCTAGTGCTGGGGAATAGGTGTGAGCCACCACATCTGGCTGAGCCCCCACCCTATTCACACCAAACCTGGTGCTTTAGCCATCTATTTTTGGGACTTAATATGTCACACAGAGACTTTTCCGAAGGATTACTATGTTGGGATTCCTGATTGTGGAAGATGGTGCTCTGTGTCTAAGTGAACATTCTAGAGCTCTGCATTCTTCTTCATTTTTTTTTTCTTTTTCTTTTTTTTTTTTTTTCCAGACAGGGTTTCTGTGTATTGTTTTGGAGCCTGACTAGTCTCAAACTCACAGAGATCCGCCTGCCTCTGCCTCTGCCTCTGCCTCTGCCTCTGCCTCCCGAGTGCTAGGTTAAAGGCGTGCGCTAGCACCGCCTGACTTAGAAATTACCTTCTTAATGCTTAGGGTTAGTTAGTTGTCTCTCACATCAATTTCAGTGAGAACATTTTTCTTTTCTTTCTTTCTTTTTTTTTTTTTTTTTTTTTTTTTTGGTTTTCCGAGACAGGGTTTCTCTGTGTAGCTTTGGAGCCTATCCTGGCACTCGCTCTGGAGAGCAGGCTGGCTTCGAACTCACAGAGATCCGCCTGCTTCTGCCTCCTGAGTGCTGGGATTAAAGGCATGCGCCACCATCGCCCGGCTGAGAACATTTTTCTAAGCAGCACCAGGGCATCTTCCTAACTGCCAGCTGAGATGTCCGTATGTACACCCTTCTGTCCCCTGGAGACCAGGGTCTAGGTTTGTGCACTTAGTATGGCCATGTGTTTCCCTATGAGCAGGTTCTTCTGATTCCTGCTGCAGTCTCTTGGCTGGAATGAGAACTGAGGGGTTATGAGAAGAGAGAAGGCTTGAGAGGGCTCTGTCCAAGTGAGTCCTTGCCCTATCTACTTTAAAAAATATCGACAGGGCTGGAGAGATGGCTCAGCGGTTAAGAGCATTGGCTGCTCTTCCAAAGGTTCTGAGTTCAATTCCCAGCAACTACATGGTGGCTCACAACCACCTGTAATGAGATCTGGTGCCCTCATCTGGCCTGAGGGAACACATGCAGGCAGAATACTGTATGCATAATAAATAAATAAATCTTAAAAAAAATCAACAAACTATAAATACTACCTGGACCCAGTTCCCTGTAGGAACTCTATAAATAGTGAAAACAAGAAGCCAGACATGGAGATTATTTATTTAATCTGCTACATAACATTGCCTTCCTGGTTAAGGCCCAAAGCTGGGCTAAACTGTTTTGTCTTTGCTGATGGCATGCATGACTGCACTGCAGACAGGTTAGTTCTCACCTGGGGGTTTCTTAGTGTCTGTCTTCTGCTCCTTCTTGTTCTATTGCTGGTTTTCATCTCTTGCCCTGCTTTTCAGCTGACTGTTAAGTTCCTTATATATTTGCTCCACCTATCAGGCTTCCCCTTTTTGGGACTACATCTCACTATGTAGCCCAGGCTGGTCTCAAACTCATGATCTTCCTGCTTCAGCCTACTGTGTGCCACAGTTAGTAGACACATGTCACCCTTTCAGCTTCCCGCCATTCTTAAACTTGTCACTTCACCCATCACCCTCCTCCTCACATCGTCCCAGTCCCATCTGCCGCCTACAACCCGCCTGAAAACTTTGGTGCTTCACTGAGTAACAAGTTTTTCTTTTCTTTTTTTTTTTTTAAAGATTTATTTATTTATTATGTGTACAATATTATATATTATGTGTATGTTGCCTGCAGGCCAGAGTAGGGCACCGGATCTCATTCCAGATGGCTGTGAGCCACCATGTGGTTGCTGGGAATTGAACTCAGGACCTTTGGAAGAACAAGCAGTGCTCTTAACCTCTGAGCCATCTCTGCAGCCCCAACAAGTCTTACCTAGGCTTGTTTGTTTACTTTATTCCTTTTTGTGTGTGAGTGTCCTGCTTGCATGTGTGTGTGCACCACATGTGTCCTGGTGCCTCTGAAGGTCAGAGGAGAGCATTAGCTCTCCTGGAACTGCAGTTACAGACAGCTGTGAGCCTCCACGTGGGCACTGGGCATCAGACCCATGTCCTCTACAAGGGCAACCAGCCACTCTTAGCCTCTGAGCCAGCTCTTCAGCATCCCTTTCTAGTTTTTGTTCCCAAAAAAGTAGGCCATCTCCTCCCATCCCCAGCGCATCCTTGACTTCCTTTCTCCCTGGTTTCTTTAGCCCATTGGTTTTACTTTGCTCTCGTTCTGCATACAAGTTGGAAGGCCTCTCTTCCGGCCAGCAAAGGGACATGTACTTTTGGCACTATAAATGTCAGACACGTGATTATCTTGTCCTCTGGCTTTTATTTTTTTCTCACAAATAACATATGAATCACTTGGATTTTTTTTTCTTTTTTTTGTGCTAGATGGTGAATCCAAAACTGGAAATGACCAAGTAATCTCTGAAGGCATGGGGTCACATGAGATGATACTGGGACGATTCCAAACTGATGTTTCTCAGGGTCTTAAGTTTGGAGAAGCCTATAAACATGAAGTCAGTCTGAATAGACAGCTGGGGAACTCCTCTGTTGGAAGACTGAATAGGAAAATACAGGAGTTTCACCAAGTGACAGTTGAGGGAAAGCTCGCCCATATGGGACAAAGAAATGACAAGAATAATGAGTTTGGGAACAGCTTCACTGTGAATTCCAGCCTCACTTCACATCAGAGATTTCCCATGGGACACAGACCACACAAGTGTGATGAATGTAGCAAGAGTTTTAATCGAACTTCAGACCTTATTCAACATCAGAGAATCCACACTGGGGAGAAACCATATGAATGTAGTGAATGTGGGAAGGCCTTCAGCCAGAGCGCACATCTTATTCAGCACCAGAGGATCCACACTGGAGAGAAACCGTATGAGTGTAGGGATTGTGGGAAGACCTTCAGTTGTAGCTCTGCTCTCATTCTGCATCAGAGAACCCACACTGGGGAGAAGCCTTATGAGTGTAACGAGTGTGGGAAGACCTTCAGTTGGAGCTCCACCCTTACTCATCATCAGAGGATCCATACTGGCGAGAAGCCCTATGCTTGCAATGAGTGTGGGAAAGCCTTCAGTAGGAGCTCAACACTTATTCATCACCAGAGAATCCACACTGGGGAGAAACCCTACGAATGTAGTGAGTGTGGGAAGGCCTTCAGCCAGAGCTCACACCTCTATCAGCACCAGAGGATCCACACTGGAGAGAAGCCCTATGAGTGTATGGAGTGTGGAGGGAAGTTTACCTACAGCTCAGGCCTTATTCAGCATCAGAGAATCCACACAGGGGAGAACCCCTATGAGTGCAGTGAGTGTGGGAAGGCCTTCAGGTATAGCTCAGCTCTTGTTCGCCATCAGAGGATTCACACTGGAGAGAAGCCTTTGAATGTAATGGGTGTAGGCAGAAATTCTCCCAGAGTTTCTCCTGAATTAAACATCAGAGAATCCACATGAGAGAGCCATATACCATTTTCCTTACCCTCTGAGTCTAAAGAGCTCCTGCCTTACTCTATTAATAGGGCCAATATAGGATGTGTCCCACCTCCAACCTTTCACTCAGAGAGAGTGGGGTAGATTGGGAAAACATCCTGGCACAGTGATCAGCAGGATTTCCCAGAAACGGACACCAGTCTTGAAAAATTGTGAGGCAAGTAGCATATTAAGTACTGGGAAAAGAAGGAAGCCAGGGGACCAGTCACCCCTTTTTGGGAAGGGGTTTGCACTAAACCAATTTTCTCACACCAGAAGAGCCTTTCTTTCCAAGGTGGGGATGGAAGCTTAATAGTAACTTAATTCTAAGGATTCCACTAGTTGGGGTCAGTTTGGTGAGCATGGAAGCTTAATAGTAACATAATTCCAAGGATTCCACTAGTTGGGGTCAGTTTAGTGAGCACAGAAGGCACAGAGCAGAATATTCTGGGTCATCATAAGTTCTGGGAAGGGAAACAAGCTGTATTTTTTTTTCTTTTTTTTTTTGAGACAGGTACGTATAGCCCTGGCTGTTCTTGGACTCACTGTGTAGATCAGGCTGTCCTTAAACTCAGAGAGACCTGCCTGCCTTTGCCTCCTAAATGCTGGGATTAAAGGCAATATATACAACCATGCCAGACCCTTGGGCTGCATTCCAAAGCCACTCTTCCTAATCCAGGGTTAAGATTGGAAGGTATGCTGCTTTGGTATGTGACTTCATGAATTCAGAAAACTTGGTACTACTGGGTTGATTTTTATTGGGGGTGGGGTGGGGGAAGGACCCCAGCAAGGGTTTCTGTATTGACTCTCCTTGGAGCTCTTAGAGCAGTGATAACATGTTTTCAAGAGTAGTCTGAGGGCTGGAGAGATGGCTCAGAGGTTAAGAGCACTGGCTGTTCTTCCAGAGGTCCTGAATTCAATTCCCAACAACCACATGGTGGCTCACAACCATCTATAATGAGATCTGGTGCCCTCTTCTGGCCTGCATGCAGACAGAACATATAAATATATAAATCTTAAAAAAAAAAAAAAAAAAAAAAGCAGTCTGGCAATACTGTAGGCAGACTCTACAACCTCCCTTGTAACAGGGCTGACTGGAAATCACATTGGAGCAGTAAATAACCCAAGGTAGATTAGAAGCTTTTAATATTGGCCTGACTCCTGTCCTCTTTTTTTTTCCTATTCCTGTGTCGAAAGGTAACTTAATGTCAACCTGTAGTTATTAAGGATGCTGTTAGGGAACTCACCTACACAGCTGGCCTATCTGGACTCCATCTAACTTCAGCTACTTGAGAGTACACAAACAGCAAAGCCAGGGAGGCACTGAGCTTTACTTGGCAGCTTGGCAGCAGGGTTCCTTGTTGGGTTCGGGTGGTGCTCCAACAGATGGCTTTCCATATTTCTCCAGCCCTATTTATCCTGTAGCTTAAATGAAATGCACTATAAACAGACTAGTCTTTCAGAAGGGAGATGGAGTGTGTGTTTGTATAGGAATCAAAGTTATGTAGTTAATACAGCATAGTAACCATAAATGGTTACTATTCCAAAGATTAACTTTGGAATTTTTCATTGATAACTTTTTTTTTTTGTCACAAATGTGAGGTTTTCCTGTCCCACACAGCTCTCTCTCTCATAGTCATTGTTGTAGACTAAAAATGTCTGCAACTACTCCCACCTTCATAACAAATTAGAATTTTGTGAGCTGTAGAGCATTTTGTATGGTATAATGTCTAAGACTGACGATGAAAACTAAAAAAAGGTGTACTTGGCTCTTTGTAGCAATGGACATATCTCTATCTTGGTTTGATGTTTTTAGAAAGACATTATAGCAATGGAGAATGGTAGGCTGGGAATGGGATGAAGAGGTTACCTTAAGAGGGCTGTGAAGTTCCAGCACTCAGGAGGCAGAGGCAGGTGAATCTCTTGAGTTCAAGAACAACCTGGTCTACAGAGCTAGTTCTAAGGTAGCCAAGGCTACACAAAGAAACACTGTCTTGAAAAATAAAACAACAAGATGGGCATGAACTCCCGTTTTTTTTTTTTTTTTTTTTTTTTTTTTTTTTTTTTTTTTTTGTAGAGTATCGTGATGGATCATCTAGTATGTGCCTTTGACTTGACAAATCTTTGGAACTATCTTTTGGATTCTTTAACACTGTTGCCAGGCCTTGTGGTTCAGGCCTCTAATCTCAGCTACTTGGGGGGCTGAGGGGGAGGATCACAAGTTCCAGGCCTGCCCACACTACAAAGTGAGTTTAAGGCCAGCTTGGACAAGTTATAAGGAGGCCAGTCCATTGCTTGTCTTTCTGATTACTGGAAATTAAGCTGAGCCAAGTTTGCCTCCTCGGGAGTTACATACAACTAGCTTCTAGCAAGCAGCACACAATTCTTTATCAGATAAATAAAATTCTGAAGAACTTTATTTTTTTTTGAGACAGGGTCTCACCCACCGTATATCCAGGAACTCACTTTGTAGACCAGGCTGGCTTCAAACTCCCAGAGATCTGCCTGCCTCTGCCTCCCGTATGCTGGGATTAAAGGTGTGAGCCACCACCACCACTACCCAACTTGAAGAACATTTTCATTCATAGCAAAAGAGGTTGTTGTATTTCTCCTTTGCTGAGATCCAGCATCCCTTTCGTGATAGGCAAAAACTTGAGTACCTCAGCCCAGACATTGTTTTGCATTTGTTTTTGGTGTGCATATTCATGTATGCGTACACATGCATGGTATGCACGTGGAAGTCACAAGTCTACTTGCAGGAGTTGGTTCTCCTGCACTGTGTGTGTCAAGGTCATCAGCCTGAAAAGGGCAAGTGCCTTTACCTGTGGAGCCATCTCTCTGATTCAGGAATTTTGTTCTATTTACTTTTTTGTTTTTTGTTTTTTTTGAACCAGGACTGACCTTGAACTGATCCTTCTGTGTCTACCTTCCAAGTGGTAGGATTACAAGCATATGCTACCGTGCCTGGCTAGGAATTTGACTTTGGATGCCTTCCATCTCCAGTGACATCTCTGAGATCCAATTCAAATGATTGTGGAAAAGTATATTATGTAGTCAAGTTTCTAAGTGGGCGCAGAGCCCAGTCCCATGCGCACTTTCCAGGTGACAGGATGGGCCATGCAGTAATGAATGAATCATATTGGATTGTTCCTTTTTAGCAAACAAAACGAAGACAACAAGAAAAGAAAAAGTTGTTTGGCTTTGCTTTGTGTTTTAGGTGGGATTTTGCTATGTAGGCCAGGCTAGCTTTGAGGTCAACCCTGCTGCTGGGCATTGGTGGTGCACAACTTTAGTCACAGCACTCAGGAGGCAGAGGCAGGCGGATCTCCATTAGTTCGAGGCCAGCCTGGTCTACAAAGTGAGTTCCAGGACAGCCAGGGCTATATACAGAAAAGAAAAAGAAGCAGCAGCCCAGGAGTTAAGGGTTCTTTTGCTTTTTCTTAAGATTTTATTCTTATTTTATCTAAGTATAGGCCTGAGGATGCTATGCAAGGGCTGGAGTTACAGGCAGTTACAGTGAACTGTCTGACAAGGGTTCACAACTGCCAAACTTGGGTCTTATAAAAACTCTTAATTCCTGTTCTATTGCTGTTAAGAGATGCCATGACCAAGGCAACTATGGTAAAATAAAGCATTAACTGGGGGCTTGCTTATAGTTTTAGAGGGTTAGTCCATGATCATCATGGCAGGAAACAGATAGGCCTGGCACTGGAGCAGTAGCTGAGAGCTTCACATCCTGACCCACAGGCAGCAGGAGAGAGAGAGACGGACCAACAGACACTAGTCTTGGCATCTGCTTTTGAAATCTCCAAGTGTACTCTCAGGGTCACACCTCTCACAGGGCTGCACCTTCTAATCCTTCCCAAACAATTCACTGGGGACTAAGCATGCAAATATATGAGCCTGTGGGTGCCATTTACATTCAAACCACCACAAACAGTATGTACTCCTAACCAACGAGCCGTCTCTCCAATTCAAGAATGATAATTCTTAGGACCTGCCTGTTGAGGCAGGTTACAAATATGGGAATTATCCTTATCCCTACAGCTTCTCAGTCAACATCTGATCCATCCCTTCCATACTCCCACTTTTGTTAACTCATTCCAGGACTTTGGTACCAGCCACACAGTGGGCCTCTGCATTCTTTCTCTTCCATCCTACCCACAATATTAGTTACTGTACTGTGGCCCTGACCAAATAACTAACATAAAATGAGGAAACATTAATCTTGGCTCACAGTTTCACAGATTATAGTACACAAATTCTGGGGCCTCTTTTCCTTTGTCCCAGTTATTCATTTATTGTATAAATTGAGTATTACATGAATTGACATTAACAGATGAGGTCAGATGTTTTAGAATCTCTTTATGTTGCTTTTACAGCTGTGGATTTTTAGATATAAGCTTGAAGTATTAGACCATCAAAACTATCCCTTTCTGTGAACAGCACATAATTCATTCTACCTGTGAATGAATGAATGAAGAATTGAAATACAGGGGTTTGAGAGATAGCTCAGTGACTAAGAGTACTTGCTGCTCTTCCACAGGACTTGAGTTTGGTTAGCAGCACTTGTAGAGCAGCTCACAGTCACCTGCACTCTAGCTCCAGAGGATCAATGCCCTCTTCTGCCTTCTGCTGGTACCAGCACACAAATGGGGTACACATACACAAACATTTTCAAAGATTGAAATACCTTTTAAGAGCAGCGAACTGGACTGTTTGTGGCCCTGCCGAGACTTCAGTGACTTAGCCGAGACTTAGACTTAGTTTCCATGGGACGTGGCAGAAGAGATCATTTACTGAAAGGAGTTGATGCTAATCCCTGGAGGTCTTTGTGACACCGGAATCTACTCTTTACATCTGAACAGATAAAATCTGAATAAACAGTGAGACAAAAAAGTGCTTTGTCTATGCCACAAATCCACAGCTGATGTCTTTCAATAAACCCAATTAATTACTTGCTCAGCCTGGCCAGAAACCAACCCTTGACTCATGAGGCTGAACAAGATGGCAGTGGGAGTGTGTGGTGGAAAAGGTTCACTTCATGGTAGCAAGGAAGAAGAAAACGGTGTCTGGGACTAGGTATTTTCTACGAATGAACCCTGCCACCCATTTCCTCCAGATAGGCTTCATCTCCCAAAGTTTCCACTATTTCCCCAAATGGTCGCACTGACTGGAGACCAAATGGAGCACATGCGCTAATGGGGAGATGTCACACTCATAGTGTAACATTGTGTGTGGACTGTCATATTCACAGCATGTCAAGAGTATTTCTGTGTCTCCTCTGGATGCAAAAGAAAAATTAATTTTTAAATATGTATTAATTTCTTAGGTGTGTGTAATGAGAGATCACATGTAGAGGCCAGAGGACAACTTTCAAAAGTTGATTCTCTCGTTCCACTCCCTGGGTCCAAGTGATCAAACAGGCTGCTATGCTTGGAGGCAAGTGCATTCCCTGCTGAGCCAGAAGTCTGTATCATGCCACGGGGTTTTGTTTTTCTTCACTTCTCAGCCCTGCCTACTCTTGGCCTTCTTTTCACTCCCTCACAGCCTTCCTCCCCTCCTACAGACCTTGCCTTGACGATACAAAAGCAACATAGTTACAAGAACACTATGTAATGCCTCTGTGGCACCTGCTCTTCCTGCTGTTCTCCTATTCTACGTAGGGAGTTCCTGTGAGAACTTTATGCTTCATTATTGTGTTGATGGGAATTGAGCCCAGCCTCATGCGTGCTAGTTAAGGAGGCTACTACCATCAAGCTGTATCTCCAGTCTCTTAGTTATTGAGACAGGGTTTTTGGTACAGATTGGCCTTGAACTGGGTGAAGGATGACCTTGAAATGAACCCTCCTGCCTGAGCAAGCATGCTAAGCCCTGTGATTGCTAGGCAAGCACTTTTAACACTTTGCTGAAGAACCAGCTCCAGGAGGTCAGAGAAACTGGAGAGATGCTGAGTCTGCAAATGCTGAACACACACACACACACACACTAAAGGCTCATCTGAGGGGGCAAGGCTTAACTCATTTTAGTGGGATGGAGAAAGATACTTGCTAACTAGGTATCCCATAAAGGGTTAACAGCAGAAGTACACAAGCTCCTGTGCCTAGGGAGTCTAACATGAGGCAAACACCACAGGGTTGCCTAACCTGGGGGTGCAGACTTGTAATTTCAACTTCTTAGGAGGGTAGGAAAGGCAGGAGAATCCAAGTTCAATGGCAACTTGAGCAACTTAAAAAGAGCTAAAGATGCCTGGCGGTGGTGGCGCACGCCTTTAATCCCAGCACTCCGGAGGCAGAGGCAGGTGGTTCTCTGTGAGTTAAAGCCAGCCTGGTCTACAGAGTAATTTCCAGGACAGGCTTCAAAGGTACAAGGAAACCCTGTCTTGAAAAACCCCAAAACAAACAAATTTCTTCTTCAAGTGTTTTGTTTTGTTGGGACAGGGTTTCTGTGTGGCTCAGGCTGCTCACAAACTCGAGTTCCACCTACCTCTGCCTCCTTAGTGCTGGGATTAAAGGCATGTACCACCATGACCAGCCTTTATTCTTTCTTTTAAAATTAATGAATATATTAAACTTTATGTGTATGAGTGTTTTTCCTACATGCATGTCTGTGGACCACCCAAGTGCCTGGTATCCAGTGAGGCCAGAAGAGGTGGCAGATCTCCATCTCCTAGAACTGAAGCTACAGATGTTTGTGAACCACCATGTGGGTGTTAAGAGTTCAACCCTGCTCTTTTGGAAGAGCAGCCAGTGCTCTTAACCACTGAGCCAACCCACTAGCCATCTTATAAACAGTTTTAACCTTAAACATTACAGAATTTGTGGGTGCATGTGTCTGGCTATGCAGCAAGTGCAGCAAGTGGATAAAGAGGACAGTTGGTTGGCGTGATTCTCTCCTTCCACTGTGTGGGTCTTGAAGATCCAAAGCAGAGTATTGACATTAGGCACCTTCACTGGCTGAACCATTGAACCCACTACGTCTTATCAATTCTTTCACACATCTGAGGCAGGATGGCTAGTTAGGAAATAGAGGGGATCTAAGAAGGGAAAGAGCACTTCCCTTATTCTTCTGATCTCTGTCACTCACTGGCTGATTCCTGGAAGTTTCTGAAATAACCAACCAGACTACCTGCTAAAGGAATTGTCTTCCCTTTCCCAAGAAACAGCACAAGTGAGATTGTTCAAAAGAGTTAATGGCTGGGAAGATGGCTCAGTTGACCAGGGCTTGCTTAGGGCCTGCATTTGGATACCTAACACTGCTGTAAAAAGCTGAGCAGAGTCCTTCTGTAACTACAGAGATGGAAGGAACCCAGAGTTCAGTTGCTGAGACAGGCAAGTCCCTGGGGCTCGCTGGCCAGCTAGCCTAGCCAAACCAATGAGCTCCCAGTTTAGTGAGAGGCCCTGTTTCAGGACAGTAATGGAGAAAGACATCTAATGTTGACTTTTGGTCTATACATGTACACACACATCTGCATACTCACTCACATGCACACCCAAAATGGTTAATGAACTGTGCTTTAAATCAAACTCCTTGTGACCTATGTTAAGTAAGGGCTCCTCTGATGAGTGTGTGGGTTTTGTTTGTTTTATTTCTTCAAGACAGGGTTTCTTTGTGCAACAGTCCTGGCTGTCCTGGAACTCACTCTGTAGACCAGGCTGGCCTCGAACTCACAGAGATCTGCCTGCCTCTGTCTCCCAAGTTCTGGGATTAAAGGCATGCGCCACCACCACCCAGCTCCATTGAGTGTTTTTTAATGTCTGTTCACTTATCCACCCCTTCAGCTGCAAGCCTGCACGGGGTACCTTTAAAAAAAAAAATCTCTTCTTGGGGCTGGAGAGATGGCTCAGTATTTAACAGCACTTGTTGCTCTTAGAGAGGACCCAGGGTTCAATTCCCAGCACCCATATAATGCAGCTCACAACAGCCTAGAATGCCAGTTCTAGGGGATCCAACACCTTCATCTGGCTTCCCTGAGGATTACATGCATTTGGTAACCCCTCTTACCCACAGAACAAAATCTAAAACTGAAAGTAATTTACTTCTGCAGATAAGAAAAAAGAATACAGCACCACTTCTGTTCCCAAACACTTAAAACTTAGTTGCAGATTAAGTAGCTTCAAAAATCACCTATTTAGCAACTATGGAAGGAAGCACTTGGGCAAGTCCTCTTTTTTTTCTGCCCAGCAGTAATCACAAAGGAGTACTGTGATGTGGAGACTACTCAGTGCTAAGTGTCCTTGCTGTGCAAGCAGGGGAACTAGTTCAAATCCCCAGCTGCCAATAAAAAGCTGGGCATGGCTAAGACTGAAGAATTGCTGGGGCTTGCTGGCTGCCAGTCTACAAAGCTCAGGGAAAGATCCTATCTCAAGGGTGAATGGAAATGAGGACACATCCACTCCTAGGTATGGTTGAGGAGCAGGATTTTACTGTAGATGAGAGAGTACAACCAGAGTCCCGAGAGGGAGAAAAAATAGACTAGACATGACCAGTAGACTGAATGGGACCATGAGAGGAGAGGCGGGGAAAGGAAGAGAAGTGAGAGGGGCAAGAGAAGAGGCGAGGAGCCAAGAACAGAGGACCAAGAGAAGGACTGAGGGAGAGAAGAACCAAGACAGCTTGAGGCTGAAGTGACAGAGTGAAATAGGAAAGAGAAGCAGAGGGTTAGGATAGGGGGTGGGGTGAGAACTGCTAAGAGGAGCCAGGACTCTGGGACAGGTACTTGTGATACTGAGACTGAAGCCAGCATGCACTTTGTTTGCTAACAGGCACCACAGTTAGCCATTTGTCCTGGGTTTCTTTGGGACCTGATAAAGGGAATAAGGCAGAGATAGGGCAAAGGCCTAACAGTCTCCTATGGCCTCTGCACATCCTCATAGGAATATTACATTGTCCTAATACATGTCCAGGGTGGTTAACACTTGGCCATGAACGATGCCCTGCACTGATGAGTAGAGACATAGCACTAACCAGCAGAGACCCAAGAGAAGGGTCAGCAGACTCAATGTACATTCAAGTGAATTTAATGCATGAAATCTAACAACCTAATGATGGGTCATCTTCCCAAGGGACCTTAAGAACTCACTCATCAAGAAAACAGGTATATGCTAGTGATGGGGATGTGAGTATTATTGGGTTCAGTGGTGGTTGTCATAGAGGCAAGGATTCAGCAGTTAGAGGTAAAGTACACTTAAGGATGTCTGCTGCCTGAAGCCCCATTCCTCTGTGGGCCTCCGTTATGGGAAATACAAACAAGACAAGTCATTTTTCAATGCACTGAGTTTAAGGTTCTGGGAGGACATCCATATGCATCTCTTAAGCTACTGCAAGAGCAAGAAAATGCCAGTTTTTGTTTTCAGTGCCCCACCCCTCCCATCAGCTGGTACATGAAGGCTTAGTGTGCGTGGCCTAATCTGAACCCTAACTCATTATGTCCAGAAATAAAGGATGCCAAGTTCAGAGAATGGAAGCTGGGAGCTCTCCTTCAGTAGAGCCTTATCAGGAAAGAGGGTGGTCACAGCACAGGGGCTAAGACTGAATGGAGAGCATTCCATTCCCCAGGACTTCTTGCGGGAGGAAGGTTAAGCTCCACCGCCCGGTGGAATGACTTAGCCTACACACCAGTTGAGAGGGCATTAGAGAAAAGAGCGGGCTGAAGAGATGGCTTGGTGGTCAAGAGCATGCGCTGCTCTTGCAGAGGACCCACGTTTGGTCCCCAGCATCCACATCAGGCAGTTCAGAACTGCCTGTTAACCCCAGCTCCAGGGGTCCCACACTCCTGGCTTCTGTGTATCTGCTCTCCTATGCACACACCCACACAGATACACACACACACACACACACACACACACACACACACACACACACATAAATACAATATTCAGAACAGAGTAAAGTTTGGCAGGGCATGGTGATACATACCTTTAATCCCAGAAGTCAAGAAACAGAAGTAGGGAGATCTGTGAGTTAGAAGCTATCCAGGTCTGTATAGTGAGTTCCAGGCCAGCCAGGGTTGCATAGTGAGATCCTATCTCAAGTAACAACAAAATCAACAACAAAGTTAAAGTTCAATTATTGTTGGGGCTGGAGAGATGACCCAGTGGTTGGTTAAGCGCATACTGTTCTTATAGAGGATCCGAGTTCAGTTTCCAGCCCCAGTGTTGCAGGGCTCACAGCCATCTTCCCACACCTCTAGCCTGCATCGGCTAGCCTGCACATATGTACACACACCTGTGCATAGGCACGAGGGTCTGGGAATATGGCTGTGGGGAGGGGGGCTGCAGCTGCAAGGGAGAGGAGGGCTATTGCCAAGGCCACAGCAAGCTTGTCAACTCCCTTGTCCATGTAAAGCTGAAGGGAGGTGTGGCTTGCTTGCTGTGATAGAGGCAAGAGGGTCAGGGCAATCCTCAGGTCTGCCACTCAACAGGAAACTTTCTCGCTTCCCAGTTCTTAGCATATCAAGCATCTTAAGGTATGGATATGTCAGTAATTCCTTTCCTGGAAGTGAAAAAACTGCCCTACTATGAAGAGAAGCAAGTGACAGGAGGACGGAGAGTAGTTGGGTTTCTGAGCAACAGTAGACAGGAGGAGCGGGAGATGTTTTACCAGTGCAGAGACTGCATTCAGATGTTACCAGGGGAGACTTAAGGTTGGGTTTCAATTTGTGGAGTTTTCAGAAGGAAGCGGTTTACGGAGAGCGGATTTTCAGAGACATTGACATAGACAGGGTTAATATAAAACTCACAGGCTTACAAAATGATCCCAATAATGAAAGTATGTGTTCACACCATGGGGTGGTGGTGCACGCCTTTAATCCCAGCACTCAGGAGGCAGAGGCAGGCGGGTCTCTGAGTTCCAGGCCAGCCTGGTCTACAGAGTGAGTTCTAGGACAGCTAGAGAAATTCTATCTCAAAAAACCTTGGCTATACAGAGAAAGCTTGTCCTTCCCGCACCCCCTCCCCCCAAAAAAGTGTGTCCTCACTATGTCAGGACACAGCACAATGCAACCATGCAGACCATCACTTGCCTGTGATTTCCTCACACACGTTCACTAGCTCCAGACTGGAGGTAGCCGCCTTCCCCTCCCCTCCCTTTGTCTATCCTCCTCTTCTTTTTCGTTCTTTGAGACACAGTTTGGCCAGGAGAGAACTCATGATCCTTTCTTAAGTGTTGGGAGTATGAGAGTATACCCCATGCCTGGCCAGTGTTTCACCCAAGGGTGTTCAATAACCATGGCTAGTGATATAGGCTGAGTGGGTAAGGAGCTTGCCACCAGGTCTGACAACCTGAGTTTGATCCTTGAGACCCATATGCTGGATGGAAGGAGAGAATAATTTATTCCAGTTGTCCTCTGGCCTCCATATATGTGCTAGGGCATGCACACATTCATAAACCCATCCACCCAAAAACTGTAAAAAAAAAAAAAAAAAAGTGTTCTGACACCATCATTCATCACAATAACAGTCCCGAGGCATTACATGATGCTATACGTTTATTCAGAAACAGACGGTTCAAGGTGGCTCAATTCTTTACAAACTACAACTGTGGAATATATGTTAAAACAGACAATTTTAATGTTTCTTTCTTAACTAGACTGGACACACATCAGTTTAACTACGTAGAAGGCAATGTCAGCTTTGTTCACTAGGGCCTGGAGTGTGAGGAGAGACCCTCCCCTGCTGGCCGAGGTAAGCACTGTTGAGCTGCTGACACTCTGCCTTGTCACTGTGGAGTTCTCTCTCCTTGGCAACCCTCGATGACTAGAGCAAAATCTACCAGCAAACACCACAGTATTACAGAGCTGCTTCCTAGCACTCACATTCTAAAGTTTACAACAAGGACGACGACGATGATGACGATGACAGAAGAGGACCAGTTACAGTGCTTCCCCCTCTCCAGTGTGGACTCTCTGATGTTTGGAAAGATTTGATTTGCTACAGAAGGTTTTCCCACAGTGGTTACACCAGTAGGGTTTCTCGCCAGTATGGATTCTATGATGCTTATTAAAATTTGAACTATGGTTGAAGGCTTTGCCACACTCCTCACACTTATAGGGCTTCTCCCCTGTATGCAGGCGTTGATGGGAACTGAGACCTGCATGCTGACTAAAACTCTTTCCACAATCGTTACACTGATAGGGCTTCTCCCCCGTGTGGATGCGGTAGTGTCGAATGAGGCTGCCCTTCCCACTGAAGGCTTTCCCACAGTCTTTACACTGGTAGGGCGCCTCTTCAGTGTGCATCCTTTGATGTTTAAGGAGGTCTGAGCTCTGCCCAAAGGCTTTCCCACACTTACAGTCATAGGGCCGGTCCACTAAGTGTGTTCTGTAATGAAGGGTAAGGTTGGAGCTGTGGCTGAAAGCCTTCCCACACTTGGTACACACATAAGGCTTCTCCCCAGTGTGTGTTCTCCGGTGCTTTGTGAGGTTTGAGCTATTGCTAAAGGCCTTCCCACACTCTGCACATATGTAACGCTTCTCTCCTGGGGCAGCCTTAGCAGACACTGGTTCTGCCCCTTTCCTGGAACCTGTGTCTTGCAGAGAAGCTTTTGCTCCCCTCCCCCTTTCCAGACTGTTGGCCCACTGCTTTTGTGACCTGGATCTACTGTACTTATTGGCAGCAATCACAGGGATGATGTCCCTTTTGAGTCCGTCTGCGTGAGACTCCTCTTCAGAACTTCTCTGCTCATCTGCTGAGTCCTCCTTCTGAGGATTCGATTTCAAACCTGAAAGCAGGCGGGTTAAGGATGCATCAGTTGCTCCTCCTCTGAGGAGGCAGCTGTTACATGGGAAGCAGGCTCACCAATGAGGTAGATGGATTTGAAAGAATGATGCCATGTGTGAAATAGTTCTAACAGGAATACAAACAAAGTTATTGTCACATCTAGTTTATAGTCCTGTGTGTTCACAGAAGTCTGCTACCCTTAATACCTATTATATGATTATTTTACAAATCTTATCATCCAGAAAGACTGTGTTCCCACTCCCTCCCCCTGTATGCTCTGAAGCAGTCTAGAAGACACTGGCCTATTCTGTCTGAGTTCACATTTGCTTCTGTAACATACTCACAGCAAACGTTTGTGAATGATTTCTGCCTTGGGCGGTTTCTGGGCCATGCAGGTAAAAGAAAGGAGTTCAAGTTCTACCAGGGGAGACACCAGGTTTCAGTGCCATAGGCAAGGTTTAGGCAGACTGGTCAACTTCCCCACATCCCAAGCTATTGGCTCAGCCTTCCAGTCCAGCACACCTTGTCAGGGGTACATAGCTTCTTTGCGAATAGTGCTAATTCCTCTCCCTTAACAGTACTTAAAAAGCCATTCCCCCAACTGGGCACTAAAACCTGAGCCTGGGCCAAGTGTGGTGGCCTTTAATCTTAGCGCTTGGGAACAAGAGGCAGGTAGATCTCTGTCTCTTGAGGCAGCCTAGTCTACATAATGAGTTCCAGGCCAGCTAGGGCTACACAGAGACCAAAACAAAAAATAAAAGACAAAAACAAACAAAACACAATTACAATCAAACAGATTAAATCCACAGACACAAACAATAAAAACAGCCCACTTCTAGCTCTGGCAATACTTCCTTTTGGCCTTCCACTTTGTGTAGAACTGACAAGTAACTATGCAAAGGATTCAATTTATCCTACTTTAGTCCAAGTCTCTGTGACATGCTGACTGAGAATGCTCTAGCTATGAAGCTGTGTGGGGTGGTACACAGTTCAAATCCCAGCACTGGGAGGAACTTGAAGCAGGACCAGGAGTTCAAGGTCACCCTCCATTTACCTAACACTTTGAGGCCAGTATTCCCTTCCCCACTCCCCCAGACAGAGTTTCTTTGTGTGGCCTTGGCTGTCCTAGAACTTATTCTGTAGACCAGGCTGGCTTCAAACTCATATCCTCTTTCCTCTGCCTCCTAAGTTGAGGCAGGGCTACTACCACCAGTCAGCATTCTTTTCTAACCAAAAATGAAGGAAGAACTGTGTTTGTATGGGCATTTTGCTTGCACATACATAAGGGTACATGCCAGGTGGTACTCATGGGAATCCAGAAAAGATCACCAAAACTACAGTTCTGGACTGTTTTAACCTGTCACATGGGTACTGAGAACCAAGTGTGGTCCTCTGCAAAAGCTCTTAACTGTAAAACCATCTCTCCAGTCCCAATTAACCTGGTTTTTTTGTTTTTGTTTTGTTTTTCAAGACAGGGTTTCTCTGTGTAACATCCCTAGCTGTCCTGGAAAAGCTTTGTAGACCAGGCTGGTCTCAAACTCATAGAGATCCGCCTCCCAAGTGCTGGGATTAAAGGCGTGTGCCACCACCACCTGGCCCCCAATTATCCTACTTTTAAAAGATTTATTTGTGTGTAACTGTGTGTCTGCCACATGCATACAGATGCACATAGAGGGCACAAGAGGCTATTAGGTCTCTTGAAGTAGGAGTTACACACAGGCAGTTGTGAGCAGCCTTATGTGGGTGCTGGACTCAAACTTCTGTTCTCTGTAACAGCAACAAGTGCTCTTATCTACTGAGCCATGTCTCCAGCCCTAATTTTTATTTACAAATGTGAAAAAGTACATTGGTGACAAAATCTGACAATGGTCCAAGGTGTGATCAGGATATTAACTAACTATCTGTATTCTTCACTCATTTGTGTGGTGCCGCCCAGAGCAGTAGTTTGAGTTGGGAGGTTGCTATCCCAGGCTGAATCAAGTTTCAAAGGGTCAGAGTCTCCGAATTCAAAGCAAGAAGGAGGTTGCAGAAGGAGTGGCACAGAACAGAAAGGGAAGGAAGAGAGCTGACTGAGGTAGGATTGTTTTCTAAAACTGGGGATTGTGGGGGAACACTTTAATCTGTAAGAGGGAGGGTCTTCCTTCTTTTTTTGGGACAGGGTCTCACTCTGCAGACTCTCCTGGAACATACTAGGTATGCAAAAGGTCCCCAGGTCTTAGCACAACCTATGCCATGATGAAAGTACCATTCAGACCTTGGAACCCAACACACAGGCAGTAACACCTGCTGAAACAAGAACAAAGTCTTAATCTATCAAACTCCATAGTTTGGAGAAAGTTCCTAAATGTACTAACCTTGCTTTTTGGCTTCTGACTAACACTCTTGCTAACTGAGGTGCATAAATCCAGGATGTGGTTTTTATGCTTAAAAGCTTACCCAGAGAAAGGCTAGGGACTATACTCTGGTCCTGAATACCCAATGTTTATGGAATATTTGTTTAACTATGAAAAGATGTGCTGCATTTGTTTATGCTGCAGAATATTTGTTTAACTATGTAAAGATGTGTTGTTATTTTACCTTGCCTGCACCTAACTGGTCTACTAAAAAGCAGAATGGTCAATAGTGAGGGAGGAGGTACAGGCAGGACTTCTAGGCAGGAAGAGCAAGGAGATGGAATTTAGGCTTAAAGGAAGAAAGAAAAGAGACTAGGGAGATGCCAGGGGCCAGCCAGCCAGCCAGATACCGAGGAAGCAGGAAAGTAGGATGTACAGAATGAAAGGAAGGTAAAAAGCCCGGAGCAAAACCTAGATGAATAAAAACAGGTTAAATTAAGTTATAAGAGTTAGAAGGACAAGCTGAAGCTAAGGCTGAGCATCCATAGTAATAAGTTTCCATGTCTGTATTTGGGAGCTGGTTGGTGGTTCAGAGAAAATTCCAACTACAGCCAGTGTAGTTGCTGTCAGATAATGCAGACTTTGTCTTGGTTTGAACCATGTCTGAGTGGTCTTCTCTGGTGGATACCTCACAAGTAGGCCTAGGCTGTCCTCAAACTCATGGCAATTCTCCTGCTTCAGACTTTCAAATGTTATGAGCAGTTATATTTTTGGTTTTCTTCCCTGCAGCCCAGGGAAGCACCAGGTAACTGGAAGATTATAAACAACTCTAAACAATCAATAACTTAAAACAGTTTAATTTTTACTTTTCCCAGAGAATACAACTTTGCTGTTCTTGAATCAGTATCAATATATAGCCCCAGGCTGGCCTTGAACTCTTCCACCTCAGTCCTTTCGAGTGCTGGGACTACAGGCTGTGTGACACCACACCAACCTGTAGAATGTGAGGGTTTTGTTGTTCATTTTTTAGATTTACTTACTTTATATACACACATGTTTTGCCACCTCTTTCCAGCCCCCTAGAATGTAGCTTTCAAAAGATTCTTAGGCCAGGAGTGGCAGTGCACTTTGAGTCCAGCGCTCAGAGAAATCAGGTTTGGGAGAGGGAAGTGTGTGACTTCTGTCCAGTCTGCTGGACCCAGTTGTCAATCTAGAGATCACCTCTTACCTGGAGTTATAGATTTCTCTGGACATTGAGATGAGACCTTACCTTGACGCTTTCTTGGATCCTGAGTGAAAACCTCCTCCTCACCAGTCTCTTGGATATACAGGGGCCCCCAAAACTCATATTTGGGGCTGGCATCCACAGACTGAGCCTGGGTACTGCTTAAGGACTCCACTGTAGTTTCTGAAGTTGACATCTTCTCCCAAGCCTGCTTCTGTTCATTTGGAGGAGATGAGACCTAGAGACAATGAGACATGGTATATGCACAGCTGACTCAAGGCGAGAGAAACCTCAAGCGAGCTGTGCAGGCCTTTAGAAGGAAAGGGAAAACAGCTATCCCACTTGGTTCCCAGAGTTATTTCAGGATGAGAGCAGACAACAGGAGCAAACATGACCCAGCTCCCCACAAGATTCCAGCTGGTTAATAATTTTACTGGATAGTGCTGTGCAATAGTTTCTGCTTTCCATTCTACAGGAAGGAAAACAACATAAACTAGCTTCAAGAAGTCCTTGAAACTGACCAGATACACTAGGCCCCTCCCTGCCACAGTACAAAATAAAAGCTGAGTGTCCCTCTTAGATTAGTGGAACAGAGCTGTAAAGGAGACTGGGCAAAACCAAGCTGTAAAGACGACTCTCAGACCAGCTCAGCTGCCTGGAAATGACTCTCCAACCTTCTGAGCTGCCTGCAGGGTGTGCAGTGTGCTCCAGGTTCCCAGCTTTGTGAGCTGTCATGCATGCTGGGCTCTGGTGATGCAGCTGTCTCAGAGTCATTTCTGCTCTTGTAAATAACCCCTCACCCAAACCATGGTAAAGCAACCTCAATAAAACTCATTAAGTTCACCACGTTGGGCTTTGGTGGTGTCTGTACATTCGTCTGCTGTGGATTCCCTATCTCTGTGTTGCAACTCCTCAGGAAAAGTTGCACACCACACACCACAGATGGACAAGTCCTGATTCCTGCTAAGGGTGTTATGTCTCCCAGCATCTGATGGCCTCCCACCCACCTGCAGCCCCGGCTCATCCAGTTCTTGCTCCAGGTCTTCCAGGAGAGTGACGGCCTCCTCTGCGTTCTCGGGACAGTGCTGCTGCACCCAGGCCTGGAGCTCTCGGGGCAGGATGGTCAGGAACTGCTCCAGGACCAGCAGCTCTAGAATCTGCTCCTTGGTGTGGATCTCCGGCTGCAGCCACTCACAGCAGAGCACCCGAAGCTGGCTCAGTGCCTCTCGAGGCCCAGGAGTGTCATGGTACCCAAACTGCCTGAAGCGTTGACGGGATATCTCTAGGCTAGGGCGGCAGCTGTCTTTCTCTTCATCCTCTTCAGCATTAATGGTCGAAGGCCCCAATGGCTCCTGAGGTGGCCTGGGGCCCAGAACTGTGGCCATGCCTACCACCTTGGTCATCACAGATTCCAGAAACAGTAGACCTTGGGGAGAAGACCTGGTGCCTTTGGGTTTCTGTTTCTTAAGGGTCACACTTCAAACCTAAAAAAACATAGTTGCCATAAAATTATCAAAGAAGAAAAATATGTTTTTCTGGTCTTTATCACAGGGGCCACCAGACAACTACCACATAAAAAGCACTGTTCAGGGCTGGTGGGATGGCTCAGTTGATTAAGGGCTTGCTGCTAGGCCTGACCACCCAAGTTTGACCCTTGTGACTCACATGGTGGTAGGAGAGAACCAGCTTCTACAAGTTGTCCTCTGACACACATATTTTAAAAAAGCATTGTTCAGAAATGTTGTTTGCAGGAAGACATGAAAGTAAAAGGGACATGGAAGGGATAAAAGGAGTATGAAGGGGACAAAAAAAAGAACTGAGGATGAAGTATGATTAAAATAATTACATACACTGTGGTTGTTTCAATGAGAATGGTCCCTACAGGCTCATATATTTGAAAGCTTAGTCACCAGAGATTGTACTATTTGAAAGGATTAGAAGGGTTAGGAGGTGTGGCCTTGTTGAAGGAAGAGTGTCACTGGGGGTGGGCTCTGAGGATTCAAAAAGCCACAATAGGTTCAGTGTTTCTCTCTCTGCCTAGAGATTAGGATGTAGCTCTTAGCTATTGCTCCAGTGCCTGCCTGAATGTGGCCATGCTTTGTGCAATGATGATAATGTACTTAACCTCTGAAACTGTAAGGAAACCCCTACTTAAGCACCTCCTCTTGTAAGAGTTGTCTTGAACTGAGTGGTGGTGGCGCATGCCTTGAATCCCAGCACTTGGGGGTCAGAAGCAGGAGGATCTCTGTAAGTTCAAGGCCAGCCTGGTCTACAGAGTGAGTTCCAGGACAGCCACGACTGTTACACAGGGATCCACCTGTCTCTGCCCTTCCAGTACTGAGACTTCAGGCACAAGCAGACATATCTGGGTTTTTACCTGTGCTCAGGTCCTCATGATTGCATAGAAGGCACTGTACTGACTAAACCACTTCCCAAGTACCATATTCAAGTTTGTGTGAAAAAAAAAAAAGGGTTTTAAAATGTGTGTGTGAGTGTGTGCTTGAGCATGTGTGAATGAGGGCAAGTACCTGTGGAGAATAGCAGCAGGAACTCCTGGAGCTACAGATGTTTGTGAACTGCCTAACACGAGGGCTGAGAAACAAATTAGGGTCTTCTGCCACGAGCAGTACATATTCTTAACCACTGAATCATCTCTCCAGTCCCTTCCCATTTTAATTGATCAATTTTTTGTGTGTGTCAGGGTCCAGCATTTGCACAGAGGTCAGAGGTCAGACTTGACTTGTAAGACTCCGTCCTCTTTTTCCATCATGTGGGTTCCAGAGACCAAACTCAGGCCATCGGGCTTGGGGACAAGCACCTTTACTGGCTGACCCATCCTTCTGTGGCCCCACTATTAGATTTTAACAGAATAATGGGTGGAAAGACAAAACGAATGTGTGTGCTGTTATTTTTGAGACAGGGTCTCGATGTATAGCCTCAGCTGACCTGGAACTCAAGGAGATTGGCCTACCTCTCCTTCTGAGTGCTGGGATTAAAGTTGTGTCACCAAGCCCAACTCTCTCTCTCTCTCTCTCTCTCTCTCTATATATATATATATATATATATATATATATGCTTATAATTACTTAGTCTGATAAATATATACTGCTGAAAAGAAGCTGAGAGGAAAAATTCAACCAAACTAGGTGATGAAAACAAAAATGCTTAAAAATATATTTTCTTTTAACTTCTGGACATTTGGTATTTCCTGTTAATATCCTAGAATATGGAATACTAACTGAACACCTGCCCTTGACCATCGAATGTGCCTTGCCTCCAGCCTTTCACTCCTGGACTCTGTATATTTAGTAAATTTTTATGGTTGTGAAGGGAGAGCAAGTCTGCAATCCCTACATTCTGAGACAGCTCAAAGTCAGAACCCTAGCTACATAGTGAGTTGCAGGCCATTTGGCCAGCCTGTGAAAAATGTATATACAGCAATGTCCTCTCTCAAAAACAAACAAACAACAAAAAAAAAAAAAAAAAAAAAAAAAAAAAAAAAAAAAAGGGAGGGGAAAAAAAAAAAAAAAAAAAAAAAACAGTGGGAGATGGGGTAGGAGAGAAAGTGAAGCTCCCACCTGTCTGGCAATTTGTGGGTTTTTTTTTTTTTTTTTTTTTGGCAAGATTAAAAAAAGAAATCTGATAACAAACTATCTTAGCATTCCACCCCTCCACACAAAGGAAGCCAGTAATTTCACATTATGCTGAGCTTGCTTCCCATTTGAAGATGCCCTCCAGATCTTGGTTTCTGAAAATTTCTTAAATGTTCATAAAATCTAAAATTGAAAAGCATGAGGGGCCAGGCATAGTGGCACACGCCTTTAATCCCAGCACTCGGGAGGCAGAGGCAGGTGGATCTCTGTGAGTTCGAGGCCAGCCTGGTCTACAGAGTGAGTTATAGGACAGACAAAACTACACAGAGAATCCTGTCTCAAAAAATGAAACAAAACAACAACAAAACAAAAAGCCAACAGCCACCCCCAAGAAAGCCCCTCAAACTCAAAACTATCTTAAAGGTCTAACTCAGCTGGCAAGATGGCTGGGTGAGTATAGAGTGCAACTTGCTACCAAGTTTGATCCTGATGCCCATTTGATGAAAGGGAAACAGTTGCTCATGCAAATTGTAGACACACACACACACACACACACCACACACACACACACACAAAAAAAAAAAAAGCCAACCGCCTTTAACTCCTGCAGTGTACTAGGTTTTTGGTCACTTCCCAATTTTCCCTTCCTTTATGCCAGGTCTACAAAATTTATATACCCCTCTTAATCAGCCTCAAATTCATTCTGTACCAGACGAGGTATACATGAATCAAAGTATCACGGATTGCAGCAAATGAACACCAATTACTATCTAGTGTTAGATAATGCCTTTAAGACAGCCTGTACTTGGGAACTCCAAGCTGACACACACCTGTAATTACAGCACTGGGGAAAGCAGAGACAGGAGGATCACCAATTATACGCCAGCCTGTGCTATACAGCAAGACCCTGTTTCAAACCGAGCAAATTTTCGAAAAGCTTTTAGGCAGGGCAATAATTTCTGAGGGGCATAACTGGGGAGCGGATCTAATTGCTAAGAAAGTCTCCTTTAGAGCGAGCCAAATTCTGCCCGTTAATTTTCTGTTCACAGTTCTTTCAATTGTCCCCTTTCAACACAAGATTTCCAAGTATGTCACCCACCAAATAAATCACCCTTCTCTCCTATACTCTACTTACAAACGATCCTCTAAAAATCTTTCCAAACTTAAGCAGATTCCAGTTCTGTGCTCACAAAGCCGGACCGCACCATTTCCCCGCCTGGAATGGACACCACCCGAGATTAATGAGACTCGGGTCTTCACTCCATGTTCCTAACCTTAGGCTTGTTCTTAACAATCAGTCCCGAGTTTAGATCTCCGGGCGAGAGCTAGGGAAGAAGGGCGGCGGTGTCCGTCGGATAACAGAGCTGGGCTGCAGGAGCTCACATAAAGCGATGCCGGAAGCAAAGGACGCGGTTTTGTTGGAGACAGCCCCAGGGGATGGACGCGGCTGGGCGGGGCGCCCCTCCCGACAACCTCCCAGGAGGAACCGGATCCGCAGCGGCTAAACCCGTTCCTCCCTCGCTAAACCTTGCGGCCGACGCTCCTTTTCCCGGCCTCTAGGCTAACCTGGGACTCGCAGGCTCACCGTGACTCAGAACCGCTTCGGAGGCTGGAACCGCACAGCCGCGGAACAACGGCGCAGCCGGAAGTGAGTCAGAGCCCCGCCCCGGGAGAGGGGCGCAGTCGCCCCTCTAGGAATCGGGAGTTGTCGGTATCCTGTTCAAGCCAAGACTGGCGACGTCTTAGACTTCATCTGTCCAGTCCCGTTTTTTTTTTTTTTTTTCTTTTCTCCTAGTTCTGTTTTGTTCTCTCCCTCTCCCCTCCCCTTTTCCTTTGTTTTCGTTTTTTGAGACAAACATTTCTTTATGGCACACACCTTTAATCTCAGGACTCTGGAGAGGCGGATACATTTCTGTTAATTCAAGGCCACACTGAGCTACACTAAATTTGATCCAGTCTAAAAGAGAAACAGCTCACACAAAGGAGATCTCAGCACTTGGAATCCCATGCCTTTATTTCCAGGATATGAGAGGTATAAAAGGAAGAAACAGAGAGTCTCAGGAGAGACTTTGTCTCCAGCCACGTTTAGGAGGGGCGGCAGTCTGAGGTTTGTGGAGACAGGATCGCCTTTCAGTCTAAGGTAGATAGAGTAAGAGCTAATGGCCAGCTGCTTTTCTTCTCTGATCTTCAGCTTGAAGCTCGAACCCCGATATCAGTCTCTGGGTCTGTTATTAATCATGTTACACAAAATGCATAGCTTTTGTTTTGAGATGGGGTCTCAACACTGTTTGCCTTGAACTTGTCAGCCTTAGTCTCAGAATCTTGGGACTACAGGCTTGCACCTAGTCAGCCTTCTTGGCAGGGCTTTCAAATGCTTGAGAAGAGGCTATGGCTGCGGCTTGTGAGTAAGAGCATTTGCTACATTAGTGTGAGGACCAGAGTATGAATCCCCAACACCCATATAGAAATCCATCATGGTCACACATGGGCCTGTATCTCAAGCAAGTCTCGAGTGCATGCAGGGTATTTGATGTCCTTGCCTGGTCTCTGAGTGCCTGCACTGCATAACATTTGCACATATCACATTCAGTCATGTTGCAAAATTAGAATTGCCCTAAAATTCCCCTGCGGTACTCCATGATCATGTCAGGAAATTGCCTCTCAACCTTGGAGTGTAAAATGTAAAATGTGGGCTGGAAAGATAGGTGATTTAGCAGGCAAAGGCACTTAGCACCAAGCCTGAGGGCTTGAGTTCAATTCCTTGGACTCACATACTGGAAGGAGAGAACCAATGTCTGTAAGTTGTCCTCTGACCACACATGCGCTCAAACAAATGTAATAAACATTTAAAATGGGGGTGGCTTGGAGACTTAGACTCTTCCCTGTCCTTTCTCTGTATCATTCCGTTTGTTTTTTTTTTTTTTTTTGTTATTGTCTCCAGAGACTGAATCAACAAAGATGGATTCCCATCCATGTGTCACAGAAATTCAGATAGGGAAACCCCAGCAGTGTTTGCTGCAGTTCCTGCCTCCTTCCTTTTCTTTTAAGGTTGGTTCTCCTCTTCCTTCCCTCCTAAGTTATTCTTCCCTTCCCTTCTCTTCCAACCATCCATCCCACACCCACAAGGCTTTCAGAATGTGGTGGACTGCCTTTGACTCACAATCCTCCTGCTCAGCCTCTGAGTGCTGGGATTACAGGTGTGCTCCATCACGCCCAGTATTCCTGTTGCTCCCCAAGATCTTTTTTTTTTCTTTTTTCCAAGACAGTTTCTCTATGTACAGCCCTGGTTGTCTTGGAATTCGCTTCGTAGACCAGGCTGGTCTTCATCTCACAGAGATCCATCTGCCTCTGCCTCCCGAGTACTGGAATTAAAGGCCTGTTCCACTATGACTGGCAGATGGTTATGTTTTTCAATTTTTAACTTACTCATTTATTCTTGCAGCCATATGAATGCTTGGCCAGTAGGGGATGATCAAGACTCAATTTCTCCTAGAAGACAGCAGGTGTCCCACTCATGGCCATTGTGCTCATGTCCTGGAGTTTTCAGGTGTTGGGAGGCTTGCACAGAGAAGCATGGCAGCCCACCTTCTCTACCTTGCCCCATGCATGTCTTCATCTGGCTTGTTCATTTCTATCATGTGGTGCTGGCTAGTTTTATGTCAATTTGACACAAGCTAGAGTCAACTGAGAAAATGTCTTCATAGGACCTGGCTGTAGACAACCCTGTAGGGCATTTTCTTAATTCGTGATTGATGGGAGGAGAGCCCAGTCCACTGTGGGTGGGTCCAACCCTAGGCTGGAAGTCCTGGGTAGGTTCCATAAGGCAGGCTGAGCAAGCCAATACACAACACTTTCCCATGGCCTCTCCTACATCCAGGTTCCTGCCTAGTTTGAGGTCCTGCCTTGGCTTCCTTCAATTGAGAAAGTGATCCAGGATATGTAAGCCAAATAAAACCTTTCCTTCGCAAGTTGTTTGTGGTCATGGTGTCTCTTCACAGCAATATTAAAGTAATTAAGATATTTATCCTTTTATTTTTTTAAATGATTGTTTGAGTGTTTTGCTTAAATTTGTATCAGTACACCCCACGTGTGCCGGATGCCCTTAAGAGGCCTGAAGAGGGTGTTGGAATCCTTGAGACTGGAGTTAGCCAGAAATCTAGGTGGCAACTGGAGACTCCTGTCTGGCATCCTAAGTGAGGACAGTTTTGTGGAATATTCAGGTAGGGTCAGAATCGACTTGCAGGACATTCAGCCTTAGGTATCCAGAGAACCGTGAAACCAAACCAACCAGTGTTCTAAGTAGGAGGGTCCTCTTTATAAAGTTTGAGATAGTCTCACTTTCTGGCCTGGAGTCTGCTCTGTAGACCAGAGTGCTCTTCAATTTGCAATGATCCTCCTACCTCTGCCTCCCAAGTACTGGGATTCAGGAGTATACAACCATGCTCAGGTTTTTTTTTTTTAATTTTTTTAAACATGAAAAATTTTTTTTTAAAAAATGATTTGCCTACATGTGCACCATGTGCCCTGTGTCCTTGGAGACCACAAAGGGCACTGGACCCCCTGGAACTGGAATTACAGGCAGTTGTGAACCACTGTGTTGGTGCTGGGAACTAAAATTGTCCTAAGAGCACAAGTGTTTGTCACCTCTGAGCTATTTCTCCAATGCTGTTTTTTAAAATATATATGCTACTTTGTTTACTCCACCACATCTCTGAAAAGCAAGCAGAGCAGGAACAATATAGTGCCTCAAGGAGTTTGAAACTGAAGCAAACTAAAATCAGAGCATTTTGAACCTTTCAGAGTTTCTGGATAGTTTAAACGAGACAAAGTAGAACAAATGTCAATTTTGTGTAAGAATTTGGTGGATTGTAGTTCCGGTTTTGAAGTATTTTTATTCGTGTATGTCTATGAACACCTTATGTGTACACTTGCCCTCAGGCCAGAAGAGTGTGTGCAGTTCCCCCAGAGCTGGAGTTACAGGGGACTGTCGGCTGCCTGCATAGGTCCTCTGAAAGAGCAAGTGCTCTTAATCCATGAGCCACCTCTCCATTTGAACCAGACAAAGTAAAAATCAAAATTGGGTTTTATGCAAAGTTAGAAGGTAGAAGTTCTACTTTGAAACTTTGGGCCTGTACCAACACCTGAATTTGGGTATGTGTTCATACACATTTGTGCTCGTGATGCTAGAGGACCACCAGTGACATCATTCTTCAAAACCTGTCCACCTTTTTTATTTGTGACAGTGGGCATCTATCTTGGCTGGAACTAACCATGTTAGCTAGGCTGGCTAGCCAATAAACCATAGGAATCTTCCTGTTCCTACCTCCCCAACCCAGGGGGCCCTTCTTTGCTTGAGTTCTAGTATTCAAACTCAGCTCTTGACTGATTGAGCTACCTCCTTATCCCTGAAAACCTAACTTTAACATAACCAAGGGATGCTAAAACAAAAACAAACACCCCACACAGAAACAATCACCAGTATTGCCTGCTGGCAATACCAAGACCAGGAGACAACAGAACATTTGCTACATATCTCCAGTTTTTCCCTCTAACTTTACTACTTTAGCATCTAATCAGACCTCAATGGCTCCTAAAGTGGACCACTATTTTCAAGCACACTATCTCTTTCTCTCCTTCCAGGATCTCACACAGCCCAGGCTGGCCTCACACTTACCATATTGCCCCAGTGCTCAGACCACAAGCATGTGCCACCTGACCTGGTTTAGTGGTGCAGGGGTGGAACTTGGGAGTTAGGGCGAGTGTTCTACCAACTTCACTACATGCCCAGACTTCCACTTCTCTCGTGAAACTTCAGCTCTCAACCATGCTTCAACTTACTTTGAAAGGGTTCTCTAGCTTTAAAGAAAACAAACAAATCCAAGAGACCCATTCTTCTCCTAAACTCCATTATTTAGCAAAAGAAGCCCCCTCCCCCCAGGGTTTCTCTAATAGTCCTGGCTAGCCTGGAACTCACACAGATCCATCTGTCTCTCCCTCCCGAGCACTGGGATTAAAGGCGTGTGCCATCACTGCCTGATGAAAAGGAGCCTTTATAGAAATATGAATGAGGGCCAGGTAGTGGTGTCCCGCCTTAAGTCCCAGCACTCGGGAGGCAGAGGCAGGCAGATCTCTGTGGGTTTGAGACTAGCCTGGTCTACAAGAGCTAGTTCCAGGACAGCCTCCAAAGCCACAAAGAAACCCTGTCTCAAAAAGCATATATAACATATAACATACATAAAACATATATGAGGATTTAAAACAAATTCCATTTTAAATCATTTATTGAACATCTACTAAGCGTCTGGACTCATCAGAGGCTGGTTAAGTCAAAGATCCAATTTTTAACAGCAATGATTTAATCCTGCTGACACACAAAGTTTCTTCTTTGGGTCTAATGATGCTAATATAAGCTGGGAATGGATGAAACAGGAGGGGCTATCTAGCCCATAAGCATAAAGACAGTGCCTGAGTTATAGTTTTATGCTTATCATGTTGACCTGGCTGTAACAATCTTTTTTTTTTTTTTTTTTTTGTTTTTTTTTTTTTCTTAAGATTTATGTTTACAACACTCTGCCTGCATGTATCCCTGCAGGCCAGAAGAGGGCACCAGATCTCATTACAGATGGCTGTGAGCCATCATGTGGTTGCTGGGAATTGAACTCAGGACCTCTGGAAGAGTAGTCAGTGTTCTTAACCTCTGAGTCATCTCTCCAGCCAGGCTGTAACAATCTTTAAAATATTATAAAAATTCTCAACTGTTTTTGTTTGCATAACCACCCTAACCCTTAATACTCATATTCTCAGGACAGGATATTTGTTTAATCACAATCTTTCTCCCACCCACACCCCATGAGTTGCAGTAAGCTGGTAACTCCCACTATCAGCAGAAGCAATACTGGAGATTACATCCAGGGCCTTGCATATGCAATTGCCCTACTCTTGAGCCACATCATAGCCTATTATTGGGGTATTCTAGCAAATGCTCTTCTTAGCCACACTAGGGAATTCCGGGCAAGCGCTGCACCACATCCTAGGGTCATTCACACTCTAAGTAAACGCTCTTTATTTACCCACACCCCTAACGGAGGGATTCTGGGTTAAACCTCACACCCCCAGTCCAGCTGGGGCAAACCAGAAACTTCAAGCTGTTACCAATTAAGACAGGGAGGAAGGTGAGCAAGCACTGTCCCCAGTGTTTTCTTACCAGATCATGAGGCTGTTGGAACTTTCTCGGCCATTCTTTTTAACGCATCCATCTGTCCAGAGACTACAGCATTAAATGACTCAGTGTGACTGGTCACCCTTTTGTGGACCAAAAGAACTTACCAATCTCAAACTGGGATGAAATACAAATTTTGGTCCAACTTCTCATTGTTTCTATCTTCAAGCACTGGACCACGTTGTTTTTTTTTTTTTTTTTTTTTTTTTTTTGGAAGGGGGTCACAACCTCCAAGATTTAAAAACAAAACCCCCCAAAACCAGAACAACTCAGAATCACAGCAGACCATTACTGACTGTTTCTCCATTTGGGACCATTGTTCAGAGCTGGCTAACCTTCACTCTCTCCATTCTGCTGTTTAGACTAGAGAAAAACACAAGATTGGTATAAACTAGGAAAGAGAACCAAACAACACAAAACTAACTTGTTATATTAAGACATTAGTTTTTATGGGATGGCAAAAGGATTTCCCAAACGTATGTTTGACCTGCAGTATTGAAGATGGCTTACCTTACCTATAACTTCAAGTTTGTTTTACAAAGTTTTGAAAAGCAAAACAGGTTATTTTCAGACATAATAAAAAATCTGAATAGCAAAATAAGTAACTGCTTTAAAATGTACAGTAGTGTTTCCAATATGAAGAGCAAAGTCTAGGTCTGTTAGGAAAACTTTTCCAAAAATGCTCATTGTCTCTAATAGTAGCTGAAATAAAAATCTACCCTAACTTATGTGATCTATTTATACCATTTAACTTTGCCTCTCTGGTTCTATATTTCATTCAATTCAGACCTTTGCTTCCCTAATAGGGAATCACAACATATTTCTATTTCATATATATATATATATATATATATATATATATATATTTATTTATTTATTCTCTTGCAGTCAGGTTGGTCTCAAACTTTCTATGTAACAAAGTCCCAAACTCCTGATCCTCCTGCCTCCACCTCCCAAGTAGCTGGGATTATAGGTGTGCCACCACATCCTTTTGATCTATTGCCAGGGATGGAACCACATCCCTAGCCCTCCCTCATACATTCTTCTGAGAGTTGGTCACAGTGGGACACAGAAAAATGGCTCTTGTGGCAAGCTTGTTGTTTTGAGTGTTTCAACACTGTCACTTCAAATGACAAAATTAGTCTTCCATGAGGATGGCAAGATGAGTCTGATTAAGTTCCCTTTTGATAAACAGATCAGCATGCCTACTGGAAATAAAGTTGACAATTCTAGGATAAATACTTAAATAAATATTAAAACACTGTCTCCTAAGCATCACTGTGGCAGAGAATGGGAGCAAGGATAGAACCTTGCAGTAGAGTCAAAGCAAATCTTGTAATGCGGCCAGGTGTTGGTGACGCACTTGGGAGGCAGAGGCAGAGGCATGCAGATCTCTGAGAGTTCAAGCCTGGTCTACAGAGCGAGTGCCAGGATAGGGTCCAAAGCTACACAGAAACCCTATCTCAAAAAAAAAAAAAAACTAAAAAAAAATAAAAAAAAAATCTCATAATGCTTCTCAAACTCTGAGACAGCCCCCAACTCCCAGCCAAGACCTAGGCATGTTTCCTGGAAAGAAGCCCTTCCTGTGACGGAGTCCCCACTTGTTAAAGCACAGAGGATTTCTGAGGGAAAACAGAACTCTGGTACTACGGTTCTGTTCTGTATACTTCCTATCCTCTGTTGAGTGTATGTTCCCCTCAAATATATTAACAATGGAGAAGACTGCTCACTGCCAAACTAGAACGCACTCATTCGCTCTGGTTAACATAGACCAGGCAGCTTGGAAGGGCCATTTACAGAAGCTACTCCACTTTCGTGTTCTACTGACCTCTTCTCACAAACTTTTCTCTCCACTCAACAAGCACCAGCCCGAGAAGTTTTCCCCCATCCCTAATTCTGTAAACTAGTTATGTTGACAGCCACATCCATTTCTTCATTACTCCAAAACTACACATTTTTTTTTTTCAAGGATGCATTCTGTCTCACAGATTGGAACACATGTTTACAAGGAATATAAAGAATGGCAGGAGGGGTAAGGTACAAAAACCACACTGACGTTATGGCCTTACAAAATATATCAAGGTACCCAAGTTCTGTAAGTTGTACACTCTTACTATTTCTTTACATTTCCCCACACTTGTTTCCTCCTGTGGGTTCTCTGGAGTGAAGACTGGCAGTTTCTGGAACTTACTGCACCACCGGAACAGACTGAGGGAATTTCATGTCCAAAGAATAAGTACTATGAAGTTGGCCTCACAGACATTAAGAGTTTATTTACAGTGTAAGCTTTGTCCTGCTCTGGAATCAATTTTCTGATGTATGTAGGGTGTGGACTGTCCCACATATTAAACATGTCAGTTTCTCTACACACATTTAGCAGTCTCACGTTTATGCCTTTAATATCAAGTGCTTTACATATCAAGTTGTCTCACACATCTATGCTTAGCCTTGCCTACCAGGCTCAAGTAGAAAGTCTACAACTTGAAGAATTTGACTTTTGTCATAAGGTTAAATTTCACTTAAAGTTTTCAAACAGTTCCATCAGGTCAACTAGCATGCTAATAGTTAACTAGTAAGCACTTAAACTGGTAACAATCATCCTGAGCACTAGATGTCAGCCTTTTGGACCATGCCACAGTGATACGTATGTGCAGAGCACTGAAGACGTTTTGATAGCCATCTCTAGCCTGCTAAGTAAAACACATCTTCAAATGGCTGCCTCCAAGAGTGCATCTGGGGAAGATCTGAAGCCACTCCAGGGACTATCTAATAGTAAGATGTCCCAATAAAATGGTAATCAACCGAGGGATGGGGGGCACAGGTCTGTCTTAATTTCATTTAAAAACAAAGCCTTAAGAGTGATGGCCTTGTATGTCAGCATGTAGTTGTATATGTCTGTATAGAAGCAGCCAATAGGGAAATGACTGAAGTCTTTTCTTGGGATCAAAGTCAGTGTGTGGATGGGCTCCGGGAGTCCTGAGCCTTCTTTCAGCTGCTTTTTAGCAAACCAGAGTTTGCATACAAGCCCACCATCACCATGCCTCATGCCTTTAGGCGGAGCCTTAAAACATCTCCACCTCCACCTCACTCCAGAGTGAGCCAGTGTAACTAACCTTCAGAGCAGCTTTGCTGCTTTTCAATTGGGTGGACAGAAACACTCATAGGCAGCATGGAGGAAACAGTTTAGACACCATCACTCATGTGTGATTGGTCTAAGAATTAAAGTCAAAGAGGGACCAGAGAATGATCCCTTGTAGGATTCTAGTTTGACCTAGAGCTTAGACCACATAGGCACCAGCCTGATGAACTTTCGTTGCTAGTCAGAGAATGACAGGTGCTAGATGATGTTAGCTGTTTCTTGAGGGGAATCTCAAACCATATGTGGGGTGTTCACGTTAAGGATCTTCAAGTCTGTCTTTAGCTTATGATTCTAGGGTTCTTCAGGGTTCTCCACACTGTCATGTTCAAGCCTCCAATACCTACATAGTCCAGACTTGGGTCTCCTGTTGTATTAAGTCTCCATCAAGAGCTTCTGGGAAGCCACCTGCAGAGATATCAGAAAAGGCTAAAGTCCCCTAACCTCACTTTAGTCTTTGATGAGAGAGAAAGACAACACTGTGTGCTATTAAACACAATGGCACGACCAACCATACCACAGTGTGGTGGTGAACTTCTCAGAGCAAGAGCACACCTTCAGCTACTGCCAACTAATGACGACAGATGCTTCTGCAAGTTTCTGGTCAAATGTGGAAAAAAATGCTCCCTTTAACTCCCCTTTTCTGCGAATTAAAAACAAAAATCAATAAAAGAACAATAACAACAAAAACACATTACAGCTTTTGAAGAGATTAGCTAAGTTTTAGGTAACTCAGCAAATGCTCAAAAGACAACCATTCAAGCAACTGACCGAAAAGAACTCTGGCCAAAAATAAGAGCTTTGCATGGAATGATGTCAAACAAACAAACAAAAATGTTATAGTTAGTGTTCATATTTTTCTTCTGTAAGTGGATGACAAAAAGTCTCTTTTTGATATTCTGTGGTATTTACTTGCTGATCCATGTTTACAGAGTCTCTCTGCAGGCAGCTAAACAAGTTTTTGCTTATATTTAGGACAAAAATAACAATGACCCTAGAATAAGTTAGGGCATGGCCTATAGCTCGGAAGGTACCGACTTTCAGGTACTCCAGATTCACAGGCTCTATCACAAATATGATAGTCCTGTGGGAAGTCTGTCATAGGGAGTGCCTTGTGTGTGTGTGTGTGTTTAGTACTACTTCCAATGCTGTGCTGTTAGGAACATAACTGGATTTCTTGACAGCTGAAGCATCTTCTTTTGGGGGGCTGGGGGTAGACAAAAGCTTCCATACACTGAACGATGAAAGATTAAAAGACGGTATATAATCAAGTGCCAACTTGTGGAGAGTGCATTTAGGAGTGCTAGAGTGCTTTAGGGACGTTGAAGAGGGATAAAAGCATCTTGAATTGTTGCTATTTCTTCAGTAGGACTGACCTCGCTGATAATGGCATAACCACCCACATCTGTTACAGTCCTTAGACCTACAAACTGGTGCACATACCCTCTCTTTCAGAGAGATAGAAATCTTTGGTTTGATTCTGATCAGCACAGTCTTAGATTTCTATAGCTTTGGCAGGCTACCCGTGATCAGATATACTACTTTCTGGATATATAACTTGCTCGAGCAGCATGTCCCAATGTAGTTTTTGTATTAACTGTCTCTCTTCATTGAGAATACAGGTTGTCCACGTAGGGCTTGTTGGCAATAAGTGGCTTCTAACTTCAGCTTAATATTCACAGAACCAGTCTTGATTCGTACATCCACTACCAGAAATCCTGGCATTTCACTGTGTGTGCTTTTATCTTGAGTGGAAATATCCTGAAGAATATCCGTATGACCAACTCTCCCTTGCAAGGACTGTAAGAATTCCATGCCTACAGACCACCCGAAGGCAGAGCACTATTGATGTAACTCTTAAGGATCCTTACATGTGACTTCTCAAACAATTTGATGGTGTTATTATTTTTCCCTTGATGGGCACACAAGTCTGATATAAGTTTAGAAACAAAAGGGGGGAAATGGTTTGATGACATACTATTGCTTTACACACAACTTTTCAGGAATGCTCCAAAGGCATCCAGAGAGGCTGGACTGTATTCTGAGGCTCTCTCTCTGGCATGGATTCTATGGTGCAGTGTGAGGGTTGAGCTCCGGGTGAAGGCCTTGCCACACTTAGTGCACTTGTAGGGCTTTTCTCGAGTGTGAATTCTACGGTGCAAAATAAGGTATGAGTTTCGGTTGAAAGCTTTTCCACATTCACTACATTCATAGGGCTTCTCCCCTGTGTGGATTCTCTGGTGCTTTGTGAGGTCTGAGCTCTGGCTAAAGGCTTTGCCACACTCGTTACATTCGTAGGGTTTCTCTCCAGAGTGGATGCGCTGGTGCAGGATGAGATTTGAGCTATGGCTGAAAGCTTTCCCACACTCATTACATTCATGAGGTTTCTCTCCTGTATGGATTCGCTGGTGCAGGACAAGGTTTGAATTGAGACTGAAGGCTTTCCCACACTCGTTACATTCATAGGGCTTCTCTCCAGTGTGGATGATTTTATGGCGGATAAGGCTGGAGCTTCTTGTGAAGCATTTCCCACACTCATCACACCGGTGAGTCTTTGCTCCCGATGGAAGCTCTTCGGAGGTGTTATTAAAGTTTGCGCTCAGGCTGAAGCTTCTTCCCAGGCCTTTACCCTTCTCCCTTGGGCCCCTCTCTCCTGCAGTGGGCTTTTTTTCCTTGGTTGTGGGAGGCCCAGGCTCTTTCTTCTCTTTGTCAGTTTTTTCTTCATGGTTCCTCTGCAGAAAAAGAGTAGTCCTTTCGACTACTCTGCCCTGCTGTTCACGTTTCTCTCCAAATTCTTTCTGGACTCTTCCTGCTGTTTCCCCATGTGAGGTGGAATCTTCTTTGACGTCAGTCTTTGAGGTTGACTCTTTCCCATTCCTGTTCTCAGAACCTGACACAATAAACAGAAAATACAAATAGCACCATTTTCTTCTGAATACAGGTGTGATACAGTGACATTTTCTAAGAAGCTTCTTTACACCTGGGGAAATGACTCATAGCATTATAGATAAAAGTAGGAGAAAGGGAAAAATTTACCGACAGTGGGATGTAGAGCTGGGATGCAGGTGGAAAATCATAGTATTAGGCCAGGCATAGTGGTGCACACCCAGCATTCAATAGGTTGAGGCAGGAGAATTACCAGTGACAGACCAGTGTGGGCTAGATAGCAAGAGCTATCTCAAGGGAAAATGGGCATGGTGAGGAGTGAGCAGGGAAAGTTACGGAAGGAAGGGACATGAAATTGAGAAGCTTTAGGGTTCTTCTATCATATGCTCACCTGATAACTAATTTGAAAGAAAACATACTTAGCAAATCACAGCTGGCCGTGGTGGCACATGCCTATAATCACAGCACTCTGAAGGCAGAGACAAGCAAATCTCTGGGAGTTTAAGGCTAGTCTGTTCTATATGGAGTTCCAAGATAGCCAGGGCTACATAGAGACTCTGTGTCAAGAAAGAAAAATAAGTCACATTGTAAGCTTAAAACCAGCACCAGAGAGGAAGAGGCAGGCAGATCCCTGTGAGTTCCAGGTCAGCCAGGGCCAAACAATGAGAAATTGTCTCAAAAATAAAAGACAATAGTAAGAAATAAAAATTCAGACTGCATTTCCAGCAAATATTTGTAAGTCTTACAAAAAGAGAAGAGGCAAGTCATTCTAAGGAATTGGCTAGTGGTGTTAGCAGAGGGAAGGCAACACAGACACTCCACAGTTCTGTCACATTTTATCAACAAGGAGACAGCAGGTAACAAGGAGCCCTGAACCCAGTAGATTATGGGGCCTCTTGACATAGCAAGCAGTTTTTCTCCACCAGGAAGAACAGCACAGAGCTACCTGAGCTCTTGTAACAGAGAAGGGATGAAGGAGCTATCTTCACCAACTGATAGCTGAGACTTACAGTAAAGAAACAACTCCTGAGACTGTAATTAGAAGAACCAGAAAACAAATTTTACAGTGTAGATTTAACCTTTGTATTTTAACAGCCAGCATACTAAAAGTCTGAAATTTAATTTTTATTGTATACTACTATATCCCATGTGTCACTATGTAAAAGAAAAACCTAACAGTGTGTGTGTGTGTGTGTGTGTGTGTGTGTGTGTGTGTGTGTGCGTAGCTGTTTTGCCTGCATGTGTATGTCTATGTATCAGGTACATGCCTGATGCCTGCAGAAGTTAGAAGAATCTCTTGAATCTGGAGTTACAGATGGTTGTGTGTGAGTTACTATGTGGGTGTTGGGAATTGAACCTAGGTTCTCTGGAAGAGCAGCCAGTGCTCTTCACTGCTGAGCCATCTCTTACGCCCCTTAGCACCCCTTAATTTATTTATTTATTTATTTATTTATTTATTTATTTATTTATTTAGTATTTTGTGTGTGAACCATGATGTATATGTGGAGGTCAAAATACAAATTGTGAGAATTCAGTTTTCTCCTTTCCACATGTGGGTCCTGGGTCTGAACTCAGGTTGTTAGGTTTGGCAGCAAGTGTCCTTTCCCTATTGAACCACCCTAGTGGCCCCTCACTTTGCTTTTAAGTGAAGACTCCAAGAGGGTCTGCACCATCCCAGCAGGCTCCTGAATGCTGTGACTATAACTGGTAATACCTAATCTTTGATTTATTGATGAAGTCACCAAAATTACTCCACCAACTGCTGAGAAGAGAAAGCTGGTCTACCTCTTTTGAATCTCAAGCAAAGGTCCTTGACTAGCTGGACAGTTCTCAAGAGTGTTCCTTTTGTTTTTCCTTCAATTCTAGCAGTGATAGCTTATAAACAAAGACCAGTTCTTGATTTCTATTCAGTATAAAGAACAAGCACCTAAAAACCATCTGCCCCTTTACACCAGTTTTCAAACCAAACCTGAGCTTCTCCAGTAAAACCCTTTCTCCACACCCACTTTGCTCATCCTCCCTCACCCACCCAAGGTGGAGCTCTTGTTATAAGATTTCCTTTGGGCTTCTGGTGGCAGAATGTCCTAAGTCTAAGATCTAGGAGAGGCCCATGCTACAGCTGTCAGCTGAATGGGTCATTTTATCTATCTGATGCTCTTAAAAGTACTCCACTCTTCTTACACTCTCAGCACCGAGAGTTCTTCATAGAAGATCAACATTGGATTTGGACCTGGGAACCTGGCTAAATGACTGCAACATGAATATTGAGTAATCTCTACAGAATAGAAAAAGACAGACATCCAGGGAGGATGGATGTCTTGGTAAATTTGGGAACATGGTAAAAATGGGCTGGAACTGGTGGTCAGTTTGCTTGGCTACCTCTACTATGACAGAGGAAAGCTGAAGCACCAGAACAGAAAGAATCCTCCCAGGGAACTGAGAGACTCAGAGCACAAGAGTTTATTTCTGATTTCAAAGACCAGAATGACCTAGAGGTAACAAACCTCAAGGCACTAGGGAGTTGGAGTACCAAGCCTTTGGAACTCAACAAACACAAATGTTATCCCTTGCTAACCAACACAGAAATAAAACAATCTTAGCAGACAGGAATTCTGCATCAGTCTTACCCTGGGAAAACACATTCCCCAAATTCTCCTGCCTGCTGTCCCTATTGAGATTCCTCCGAGCCAGGTTCTGACATCCCCATTCCTCCAGGATGAGGGACACGGCCATGTCCTCGATCTTCACCATTGCCTGAAATAACAGGAGATCCCCATGCTCAGCAAACCTGAGGTTAGGGACAGAGCTGATGGCAGGACTGTGGGACACTAGAAGAGAACACATGGCCAGACCCTGGTGGACTGAAGGGGTTATGGTGGAAGGACACTAACATTGAGGGGAGTAGGGCTTTTCTGTGGGTACCAAGAACAAGGGACCTGGTAGACCCTCTTAAGATATGCTCCAAGAAAGGGGTAGATACCGGGTCTCAGGAGGGAAGCGGGGCCCACAGCTCACCTGGGAATCTGCGGTCAATAGTGCAGATGCCATCGCCTGGTCTCTGGGATTCCCCTCATGATGAGGGGCAGGAACATGGGTGACAGGGAGAGCTGAGGAGGAGAAAGGGGCTGTGAGTCAAACAGCTCTTCTGTGAGCCTCTCTCAGTGAAGAGCCCTGCATTCTCCTTCCTATACCAGCATATTCACTGTTTGATGTTTAGCTACTAAAAAGATAGCTCCACAGGATACCATTGAAGGAAGCAAGACTTCAGCTTCCCAGAGACCTTTACTCTTAAATTGGAGCCACGAGGAGCTCTTAAAAAGGGTCCTTAAAATCACCAGGTCCAAACTTTAAAAGGAGAAAATGAAGCCCTGAAAAGGGTAATGACCATGTAACGACACTCAGTTTAGAATGATAGGTCCAGTCCAAAACCCGGGTTCCTAGTCTCAGCTTTCATCAGTAGCTTGTACTTTCTCCAGCACAAGAGCAGCACCAGGTACTAGACTCCCTTTTCTGCCTATACTGTGGACAACACATCTTCAAGATCACAGGTACACCGAGCATGGATGGGGAAGAAGGGACCTTCATACTTGTAAGTGCATTTGTGTCATTCTGACCCTTTCCCCCTTTTATTTGGCCATGGTAGCTGTTTGATACAACATACACTCTGTTTTAGTGTTGATGAGACATACAAATGCAGGAAGGCATGGATCAAAACACAAAACAAAAAACAACTATCAACTATATGCAATGAGTAACAAGAATAAAAAAATTCAACCGTAACATTAAAATTTCTCACTTCCCTGCCCTTCATCAAGCCTCATTAGATTTGGACACAGGATGGTACCAGCTACAAAGGACCACAGAAATAGACGACTCAATCACTACACCTAGCTGTTTCCACCTGTGAGGTAAAATACACACAAGAACAAGACTCCAATTAGCCCTTCTCAGAGTTAGGACATTGGAAGGTGAACAAGAGAGGAAACTGAAACAAGTCCTTGACTCAATTCTTTCAAAAACAGTTTAGTAAATAATAAATCTAGTTGCAGTTTCTAAAACCACTTCCTTAACTACCTGAAGCAACAATCTGGTGCTGAGAGCCCGAGTATTCTCCCCAGCTGACACCCAGTGACACTGCTGTAACATCTGCTTGTGGAGTACTCAAGAGTCCCGGAAGAGACTCGACATAGGTGGAGTTAAACATTTACAGCTGCACATGTCTGCTGGCTGTCTTCCAGGACGCCTGAGAGAGAGAATGCTTCTTCAGGCTCTATCCTCTAATAGCCCTCCTCTAAATGACCTCACAAATAAAGACACTGGTGAGGAACATACTTTAACTCTTCCATAATTCTGTAACAATGTGGGGCTGGAGAGATGGCTCAGTGGTTAAGAGCACCGCCTGATCTTCCAGAGGTCCTGAGTTCAATTCCCAGCAATTACATGATGGCTCACAACCATTTGTAATGAGATCTTGTGCCCTCTTCTGGCCTGCAAGGATACATGCAGACAGAACACTGTATACAAAAAAAAAAAAAAAAAAAAAAAAATTTAAAAAAAAAAAAAAAAAAAAAAAAACAAAAAAAAAACCACACTTTAAAAAAGAGAGAGAGAAAAAGAATGTGTGTGTGTGTTCCATCCAGTGCTCAGGTGCCAATAGAGGCCAGAAGAGGGGAATCAGATCCCCTGAGGCAGGAGTTAAACAATTTTGAGTAGCCTGAGGTAGGTGAATGCTGGCCCTCTATAAGGGCAGCAAGATCTCTTTAACTGCTGAGCCAACTATCCAGCAATAATAATTACAATTTTGAGAACTGTTTTGATATTCTATGCACCTGCTTTACTTTAAACTCTGATTTAAAAAAAAAGTGTCTATTTCTGTAAGGTGGACTGAATGGAGACACCAACCAAATGCAATAGATTTTTATAGAAATCCTCAACTAGCATTGTTCTCATTTCCTCAGTCAAAAGGAAAATTGTTCCTATTCTTCTCTTCCATGTGAAAAATTTAAAAGTAATCTTTTAAAGAATGTAATAAACATTTTATATATTTTAAATAAATGGATCTTTAGTAGCCAGGGCTGCACAGAGAAACTCTGCTTGAAAAAAAAAAAAAAAAAAAAAACCCCAAAAGACAAAAACACCCCCCCCAGGCAATCTTTAGAAGGATTTACAACCCTTACAAAATTATTTAAGAAACACTAACTCAAGTATTTCAAAACCCAGGCTGGAAGCCAGGGCCGGGGCACACACTCAGTACTCAGGAGACTGAAGCAGGAGGACTAGAGTTAGCAGGCAGCCTTCGGCTACATAACAAGACCTTGTCTCAGACCACTGAGGCTGGAAATAATATATCGTTTGTTCTAACACCTTCCACTCAGAACTCTGCTGGACATCGGGATGCACACAGTTCAACAGGTGATGTAATGTTCACCAAGGATATGGCACATAGTCCACTTACCTCCTTAATAAACAACATTCAGCCTAAGACGGGTCTATGAGCTATGCTATCATAAAAAGGCATAATAACCAAGCAAGCATGCTTCTTTATGAGGCTACCTGGTAACATGGAGAGCGGCACTTCCATCTGAGACCATTTATTTGCTCCCCTTTCCCCATCCTTTTCTTTTTCTTCCCCAAGACAGGGTTTTACTGCATAACAGTCTTGGCTGTCCTGGAACTAGCTGGCCTTGAACTCATAGAGTTCTGCTTGCCTCTGCTGGGATTAAAGGTACACACTACCACCTCCCAGCCTTCCCATTCTTTTTTGTCTAGAGGGCGAATGGGTGAGATCTCATGCCCTCACTGACCTGGGCTGACCTCAAACTTATTGTAGTTGAAGATGACCCTGAAATTCTGAACCTCCTGTCCTTAGTGTTACAAGCATGTACCATGCCTGCTTTTTTGTTTTGCTTTGAGTCAGGATCTCACTATGTGCCCATGGCTGGCCTAGAACTCATTATGTATACCGCCAGGCTGTTCTTGAACTCAGAACAGCTTCTGTCTCTACAAGGCTAGGATTAAACAAGTGTGCCACCATGCCTCATTTCATGCACAGTTGGTGATGGAACCTAGTGCCTCATGTACGAGGAGGGGCAAGCACTCTACCAACTACGCCATACCACTAACCTACATATTTCCTTCTCTTCTATGAGTGAACCCAGCTTCTTACCTCGGGATGGCAAGGGGCGAGGCTTCCGAGATGCATGCTTGAAGTGAGAGTGGGTAGCTTCGTGATGGTCAAAGCTTGAGGACTCCTGAACTGGATCCAAAGGCACCATCCCCCTGGCAAGCATCTCCGGCCCATGAACTTGACCCGGGACCTGGGGGGAAAGAAAACGGTTTCTGGGTAAAACTTCTGGTTGGCCTGAACTCCTAATCTTCCTGCTTCAGCATCTCACATTCTAGGATTGTGTGCATGAAGCTCCATGCCTGGCCAAGTAAATTACTTTTAAAATAGGAATTAGGAATATTAAAGTAAAGGTTCTAAGTGTGCCAATGGATGCAGCCAGAACACCCCCCCCCCCCCCCCGCCATGGTTAGCCACTGAACCCAGAACCTCAAAAATGTCATGCACATGTTCTAGAACTGAGCCATACTGCCCATTCCCCAGAATTCTTTGAAAGAGCCCAGGGGAGCAGGGGAGCCAGAACAACTGCCGCAAACACACTCTCTGAGCCAACTCCTAAGTCCACACCCTTTTTACACACAACAGGTCCCCTCTTTTTACCTGCTGTCCTGACAGATCAAGTTCCAAGTCTTCTAGAAGAGTCACAGCCTCCTCTCCGCTGTCGGGCCGGTACTCCTGCAGCCAGACTTGCAGCTCTTTGGGAAGGATGGACAGGAACTGCTCCAGCACCAACAGCTCCAGGATCTGTTCCTTGCTGTTGATTTCAGGTCGAAGCCACTGATGACAAAGTTCCTTTAGTCGATTCAGAGCTTCTCGAGGCCCGAAAGTGTTCTGGTAACAGAAGCGCCTGAACCGCTGGCGGAATACCTCTGGGTCGGGTGGTGGTGTCTCCTGCACACTGGAGTCCTGCCCCCACATGTGGTCTTCCTCATCTTCCTCTTCCACCTTCACGATGACAATACCGTCCTTCTCCTGTGCGGCCTGTGGCGACAGACCAGTGGCTTCCCTTGACTCAGCAGTCATCGTTCAGGCTCAGGAAGTAGTAGGCTCCAACAGGGTCAGGCTGGGGTCTCTGTCCAAGCCACTGTTCTCTATTGGTCTCTGCACTACTCCTACAGGCAAACAAGTAGTAAAGACATGGTTTAAAGTAACCTGGAAGCAGAGGACAGTGGGGCCCTAGTCTCAAGGGCCTACTAGTCTAGCATTCTCCATGAGCTCCTGGCTAATGGGAGGTGCTGCCTCAAAAACTGAGGAAGGCCAGGCAGTGGTGGCGCACGCCTTTAATTCCAACACCAGGGAGGCAGAAGCAGGTGGATCTCTATGAGTTCGAGGCCAGCTTGATCTACAGAGCTAGTTCTAGGACATTCAAGACTAAACAAAGAAACCCTGTCTTGAAAATCAACAACAAACAACTAAAAAGAACAACAAAAACAAACAAAAAACAACAAAAAGAAACTGAGGCAGACAGCACCTGAGGAACAATACCCACGACTGTCTTCTGGCCCCCATATGTACCCACACATTTATGAGAATGCTCATATGTGTGCATACACAGAGTAACCTGTGTTACTTATCCTTCATACAAGACACTAAGAATGTTTCTAAACATAAAGGAGAAAATCACCATAGAGCCACACTGGCCTTGGTATCACTTCTGATATTAAGGTTTGCAAACATAAGCTTTCTATGGGTGGCCTCTATCCTCAGGGTGTTTGCCTTTAGTCAGAGCAATGTACTTCCAGGGAGACAGCAGATCACAAAAATGGGGACATTTACAATGCTTAGTCCAGTGAATGCCAAGAGCTAGGTTAAGCATAGCATACATAGGTACCATCTACCCCCACCCCAAGCCTAGCTGACAAAAAAAAATATTATCTGTATACAGACAATATAAGTGGAGTTTACAATGCTTAATATTCTCAGCAGCAGATGTGCACATAACACTGAAGCCAAATTTGAAGACAAGACTTGCTAATGCACCACCTAGCTACTTTTATTACGTTATGAGTGTTGTGGTGGGCCTAAGGCTGCAGTTTCCATATTGAATACAGAAAACAAGTGTCAGAGCATCTACTTTAAAAGTGAGGGCTGGGGATCTGGCATAGTCTGCAAAGCACTTGCCTAGCATGCACACATGAGGCCAGCTTTGCATAAACCAGGTATGGTGACACACTTGTAATCTAAGAGTTCAAGGTCAAGGTCATCCTCAGCTACATGGCACACTCAGAGCCAGTGTGGGATACCTGAGACCCCTTTAAGGGAGAAAGAGAAAGGGTCCTGGAGGAGAAGGGAAAAGGAAGGAGGGATATAGGAGGAGATCTATATCTGGGAACTTGAGAGTCAGAGGCAAGAGAATCAGGAATTCAAACTTAGAACAATTAATTCCAGACCAGTCTGGGCAGCAGGAAGCTATCTTAAAATACAAAAACCAAATGCTGGGCATGATGGTGCATGCTTTTAAGCCCAGCATTCAGAAGACAGAAGCAGGTGGATCTCTGAGTTCAATGTCAGTCTGGTCTACAGATCAAGATCCAGGACAGTGAGGGTGACATAGACAAAAACTCTGTCTCAGAAAACCAAAGCCAACCACCCACTCCCCCCAAAAAGTGAGATAAATTAAGTCATATTTTAACCTACAGAGAGGTCACTTGGTCTAAATGGTGAGCTGTCACATTCCACATTAGGTACCTTACATCCCAAGAGAAGAACCTCTTCTCTCAACTTGCTTGTTCAGTTTGGATTCTGTGCCGTTCCCTTGCTTAACTGAGCTATATTATGCAAAAATAACTGATTATTCTGTCTGGTCGCCTAATCTCTTCATAAGAGGGACTGGCAACTTTAAAGACTTGAGGAAACTGTAATCAGAGGACTCATGATGTAAAAAAAAGAATGGCATAGCTGAAGCTTCGCTGAGAGCAACAGCCCAGCCACACAAGAGACAAAACCCACTGCCGACCTACACCAAGATAAGAAGCATCAATGACCAGAAAGCAGGTGGCTTTTAAAATGTGTGAGTGGGGCTGTGGATATATCTTACATCACAGTGCTTATCCAGTGTGATTGAGGGAGGGCTAAATGCATGGTACCACCAAAAGGAAAAAAGAAAGTCTGGAAATAATGATTATAAAATGAAGTATTCCTATTGTTACAAAATGCTAACTGCCAAAAACAAAACAAAACAAAAAACAAACAAACAAACAAACAAACAACAATTATCAATCACCTTGGAAATCATCTTTTTTTTTTTTTTTGCGACTGGGTTTCTTTGTGCAATAGCAATGGCTGACTGTAACTCATTCTGTAGACACGGCCTTGAATTCAGAGATCTGCCTGCCTCTGCCTCTCCACTGCTAGGATTAACGGTGTGCACCACCACCACCACCTTGCTCTGAAATCATTTTTAATGCGTACACCCTTCCTGAAAACACTTATGTGTATGTGCACCTTTGTGAATTTATGTGCACCAGGTTATGTTGAGAACACTGGATCCACATCACAAGATGAAAACCTATTTGCCTGGCATGCACACACAAATAAAGAAACCTTTAAAAAACTAACTTGAAACTATTTTCTAACTCATTAAAAAATTTTCCAAATGAAGAATTTCAATGGAAATTTGTCTTACCCATCCCGGGGATTGCTCAGGTCATCAGGCCTGGTGGCAACTACATTTACTTACCCGACAAGCCAGATATCTCCCAAGGTTGGTATTGAAGTCATTAGTAATAATAAGCCTTAACTTTCTGGTTAGTCTGCAAGAACTAACCAGATTTTTGGAAACCTTAATGCCCCATGACATTTAAATCTTACACAGGAGGGGCTGGGGAGACGGCCTGAATTGTCAAGCCTGAGGATATAGGTTCCTTCCCTGGTATCCACAGGAGGAAGGAGAGAAACAATTCCTGCAAGCCATCCTCTGACCTCCACAGACATGCCCCAGCCCTCACACTAAATGAAAAAAAAAAAAATAAAAAAATAAAAAAAAAAGAAAGAAAAAAGGAATCTTACACTTGGGTAGGGGTACTGCTATTTTTGTCTCTTCTACTATTAAAAGTAGGGGCAATTATGTGATTTGTAATCCCTACCACCATGTTTGCTGTAACACACTATCAGAAATATTTAATAAATACTGGTTGAATTAATTTTAAAAAAATGTGGAAAATGAAGATTTGCTGAGCATGATTACTGCAATCCTCCCATGTGAATGCACTAATCTTTGGAAGTATTGTTTTCACTCCTACACCCATCAAAACCACAGCATTGTGGGGCCAGCGATATGGCTCTGTAGGTAAAGGCAATTGCCGTTAAGCCTGATGACCTGAATGGATCCCTGAGACTAACATAGTGGAAAGAAGACTCCTGAAAGCTGTTCTCTGGCCTCAATCTCCTCATACTGACTTAACTGCACCCAAATAAATAAATATAATTAAAAAAAAAGTAAGAGCAGGCAGTGGTGGCATACACCTTTAATTCCAGCACTCAGGAGGCAGAGGCAGGTAGATCTCTGAGTTCAAGGAGGACAGCCTGGTCTACCCAGAGAAACCCTGTCTTGGGGGGATGACAAGAGGGAACTAAAAAACCCTACAAAACAAAACAATCAAATTAATTTCAGAAATGAACCATCTGTTTCACAATGAGTCAAACCAAGAGCTGTTTTTTTTTGGGGGGGGGGGTTTGAGACGGTTTCTCTGTGGCTTTGGAGGCTGTCTTGGAACTAGCTCTTGTAGACCAGGCTGGTCTCAAACTCACAGCGATCTGCCTGCTCCTGAGTGCTAGGGTTAAAGGCGTGCGACACCACCACCAGGCTTAAACTAAGAGCTTTTTAAGATAAATTAGCTTTTATGCTATGCAAGGCTGGGGACCAAACCCAGGGCCGTATGCATGCTAGGAAAAGTGCTCTGCTACTGAGCTTTGTCCCCAGTTCAAGCCAATACTTTTAAACTAGGAATGCATTTATAATTATATGGGTCTCACTTAAAAATACTGATTAGAATTGGTAGAAATGGGATCATACACTAACATAAAAATTACCTTTCAGTAGTAATACAACATACTAACTATTGAGAACGGAACAGTCATACAATTTTTGTAGGTAGCTGGTTTTAAAGTTTTTTACTAAAATTTTTCATTTATTTTACATACCAACCATTTTCCCCTGTCTTTTCATTCCCTCCTCTACAATCCTGCATGGGGAATAGGTTCCAAAAAGCCAGCTCATGCCACTGCAAGGGACCCCACAAATAGACCAAGCTACACAACTGTCACCTGCACGTAGATATTTGTGTATATTCAAACATGCACAGTGAGCCATGGGAGGTCAGAGGGCAACTTTCCAGAGTCTCCTACCACGTGGGTCTGGAGGACCGAATTCAAGTCTATCAGGCTAGGTGGGAGGTACCTTTACTTGCTGAGTCACCACACTAGCTCTCGGGAGTAGGGACTGTTTTGACAATCTCCTCCATATGCTGTTTCATTTCCAGGTGTTTCAGTTCAGTGATGATTTCTTTCCATCCCAGTACACACAAAGGTCAGTGTAGTATTGTTAGAGAACTCTTCTGTCCCCTCAATTATAGTCTAGGAGTCTCTGATACATCAGTTTTCAAGGGCCTCCTCCTTTGAGAGACATTCTACCCCTCTATTCCAGCCCTACTGCACTCCTCCTGTTAGTACTGTAACCCCTTAGTTCTAGTTATATGGATCCATGCATGGGCTATGATCAATGACATCACTCTTGCCGAGAACAACACTGACTCCATTTATCAACTCTGTCAGTCAACGTTTTACTCACCCTTCAAGATGCACATTACCTTCTGGTTGGTCTAGCTTAAACAAGGGGAGGAGGAGCTGAGCTGTACACATGGGGAGAACCATCCCTGCTATTTCAGTTCCTCTTCCACCCTCTTCTTCAACAGTGAGCAGCCCTGAGAGATATTCTACTGGTATCTCACCTTCGGTGCCTTGAATTAATCTTACCTTCTTTGAGTCCTCCCTCCTCAAATGTACTGACTCTTCCAGAACCAGAATGAATTGTTGTTTCTGTTACTATTATTATTATTATGGTTTTTTGAGACAGGGTTTCTCTGTGTAGCTCTGGCTGCCCTGGAACTCTGTAGACCAGGCTAGCCTTGAACTCAGAGATCTGTCTATTTCTGCCTCCCGAGTGCTGGGATTAAAGACGTGTGTCACCACCGCCCTGCTGAGTGAATTATTTTTGAGACAGGGTCATACTATGTAGCCCTGGCTGGCCTCCAACTCCCTATGTAGTTGAGGATGACCTTTAACTGGTGATCTTGTTGCTCTGATTTCTGAATGCTGGGATTACAGGCATGAGCCATCATACTTGTTTTATGCAATGCTGGGGATGGAACCCAGGGCTTCATGAATGCTAGGCAAGCAGTCTACATGATGCTACATACATAACTCCCTGAGTGAAATAACTCTTTGTTCTTATTTACTGCTTAATCCAAGTTCAAGCCTGGCCTCTTTGGTTCTCCACTTCTATTTTCTCTCTGTGTACCCGTAATTACTTGCTACTTCACTCTGATTATTTCCCTAAAACTTTACAGCCCCAGTTAATGGCTACATTTTGTTTCCACTTCCCCTTCAAGCATCACCTCCCATCAACCTTCCCACTGAGCAGAATGACTCTAAAACCAGCACCTCAATCATGCTCTGCCCAGCCCTCTACCTTTTCAAATCCCACTTACCTTGCAAACCTAAGCTAAAGTGCCACTTGTCCACCATTGATGCTCAAGAACATTTGCAGGTGCCAAATAACACACTGAGCACTTCGATGAGCAACATACCAACAGTCTTAAGAGGCACTACAATTACCATCTTGCTTTGTAATGTGAAAACTGCAGTTTACAGACAGTAAATTACCTACCTAAGCTCTCAGAGCAAGTAAATACTAGACCAGGACCTGAAACTAAACCTGCCACATCTTGGGACAAGTTCTTTTTGTTTTTCTTTTTCCAGCATGAGTGTGATATGTCTGTGTGTGGAGGTCAGAGGTTGATAGTGGGTGTCTTCCTCAGTTGCTCTGCACCTTATTGAGGCAAGGCCTCTTACCTGAGCCCAGAGCTTGCTGACTTGGCGAGGCTAGCTGGCCAGCCTCTCACCTGGCTTTTCACGTGGGAGCTGGGATCTAACCTCAGAGCTTCATGCTTGTGCAACAAAGCATGTTACCAACTGAGCCATCTCCCCAGCCCCACGTACTAATAGCTATTACTTTTGCAGTGCTGGGATCAAACGCAGGTTTGGTGCATGCTCAGTGCTCTACCTTTGAGCTACAATGCCTGCCCAAACACTCTTTTAAGAAAAATGCATGGCAGGAGGCTCAAAAGCTCAAGATATGTTTGTATTATAAACTGAGTTAAAGGCCAGCCTGGACAACTTTGTGAGACCCTGTCTGACATGAAAGTATGAGCCAGGTGTGGGGGCACAGATGTAATCACAGCACTTTGGGAAGTAGAAGCAGGATGACAGGAAGCTCAATGACACCCTGGGCTACAGGAGACACGATATCAAAAACACAAACACCAACAAAACCAGTACAAAATACAAAAAAGGAGGGATGTAGGGACATAACACATGAAGTCTAAGGCCCTGCGTTGAGTCAACCAAGACCGAATTGAATTTACCATGTTACTACTTTTTTGCATGTTCATTTTCCATCCCATGTTTCTTCAAATTAAACAAATTGACTTATGAAACTCTTGAGAAAAGTTTCTGGCACTTCAAAGGCACTGAGGAAGTTCTGCTTTTTAAAAATGAACTTAAGGGTTGGGTGGTACAGTGTCATGGCAGAGCCCTTGCCTAGCATATACAGGCCCTAGGTTCAACCTCAGCACAGCAAGACAGAAAACAGGCCCAAAACAGGTGTAGTGGGGCATGTCTATATTCACAGCACTTTAGAGGGGGAGGCGGGGCCAGCCTTGCCTACGTCGTGAATTCGAGGCAGACAGGGCTACTTCAGAAAACAAAACAAAAAAACATTTAAAAAGTAAGTTCAAGAGATGTAATTGTACATTACAATTTTCAGCCTAAGATTATCAATGGAAGAAATCCTGTAACAGTGAAGGCAGCATGAGGCCACACATCCTTTGAGTGAGCTACTTAACCTCTCTGGTTTCCAGTGCTCTTATTAACAATGGAGTAGGGACAGAGGAGAGAGGCAAGAAAACCACCTTTGGGGGTTCCCCTGAGAAACATATTCTGACATATCATCTTCTTCAGGAAATATCACAGCCTACTAACCAGAACTCACCAGAGAAAAGACAAATGACTTTCTGTCAAGACTCGGGGCTCCAAGCTTGGTTTATTTCAAAGGTTGTTTTCTCAAAGTCCAGTATTTCTTCTATGGCACAGTCTTGAAAGTTTAAATAAATGATTCTCTATTTTATTAATATGAAAAAGCTTGTCTTTAAAAAGTAGCCTAATGTGGTGACAAGTGCCTGTAAGCCCTGCACTGCAGAGGCAGTAGCTGGAATTCCAAGGTCAGACAGGATTGGAGAGACCCTATTTTTTAGGATACTTAAAAGAATATCGATACCACTGAGTGCAGAATGAAAAGCAAGATTTAGTACACTGGCCTGGTTGTATTATAATATAGTATAAGCCATTTGAAAAATTTATGAATGGAGAGATTAAGTAAAAAATTAACAAGATAACAGTATTTACTAGCAGGTGTCTCTGTAATTTTCAGAAAGGCGAAACTGGCCAGGCGGTGGTGGTGGTGCACGCCTTTAATGCCAGCACTTGGGAAACAGAGACAGGCGGATCTCTGTGAGTTCAAGTCCAGCCTGGTCTACAGAGTTCCAGGACAGGTTCCAAAGCTACAGAAAAACCCTGTTTCAAAAAACAAAACAAAATCCCAAAACTTAAAGGTGTGTATGTGAACAATGAGTAAGGACCTTGTGTAGTAATTCAAGGGTGACACAAGCCTGAAGAACCCTTCTGGATAAATCTTCACTATAGATCCCTTGTAATAAAGCTATTTTCCCACATTTGGCTGGCTCTTCTAGTAACTTTACTTGTTGATTTGGTTACACTGAATTCTTCACAATTCAACAAGTATTTATTGACTGCCTCCAGTCCGCCTAGCATTGCCCTGAACAATAAATGCTTTCTTTGGTCCCAGGCCATCCAACAGCCACCGTCTATTTATTCAGTGTGTGTGTGTGTGTGTGTGTGTGTGTGTGTGTGTGTGTGTGTGTCGTGTGCTCGCGCGTGTGCGCGTGTGCGTAGGGAAGGTAGGAGAAGGATGGGGAGAGTCAAGTTAAGCGATTTGATTTTTTTTTTCCAGTTACATTTGACCAACTTCACTCGTTTCAAATTTGGAAGTGCCATTCTGAGCAGAGGTAGTTAATTTTTACGGATCATAAAACTGACAGTTGGCAAATGTCTTGTCTCATTCAAGGTCATTGAGCTGGTCAATCTCCTACTGCCCGAATGTCATTCCCTGATACCTTTCGAATCTCACCCACTACAATCAAGCAAGGCGAACTAAAAACTATTTTCTAGACAGCACCATTTAAAAAGCTTAAACCAGCAAGGACTTTCGGAGCGGCCTATAAAGCCGAGAGCCGGTTGTGGTCAGGCTTGCAGCGCTTTGGCTCAGTGCGGTCTGCAGACGTCGGCAGGCCCACACGGTGCGCATAGCCCGTCTGTCTCCGTCTGTCTCACTCTCCCAGGGACCCGGGGCGGGGGAGTGAGGGCAGCAACAAAACCAAAGCCGCGCCACACACTGCTCCCCGCGGGCACAGCAAACGGCGACGGAGGAGCGGGAGAGGGATCCACACACGGAGACCTCGTTCTCAGAAACGTCACGCGCAGACGACGACACGGCGGGGCTCCCCACTGACCCCGGGATGCCAGCACCCCGGCATCGGCGGGGCTCCGTTCCAAGCCCCCCGGGGGCTCGCAGGGCCCCCCCTCGCGGCCCGCCCGTCCTCGCCAGAGTCCGCCATGAGACTCACCGTGAGTCTCCGGAGCGGCCTGGGGACAGCGAGCCACCAAGCACGGCTGACTCCCGGGCTCAACCCGGCCGAAGGGCACCGCGCACCAACCTAGGCCCTCCCAACGCCTCGCCACAGACACAATGAGTCACAAAGACCGGAAGTAAGTCAGCACCTCACCTTCCGGGACCGCGCCGCGCTTCCGGGTCTTCTCTAGGAACGCGGGAGGACTTTGCATCTCGGCTTCTGAGTTTCTTGCCCTGGGGTCCCCCACCACCCCTACCCCGCAGAGCCTTGATTGCCGTCCTCAGTTTCCGAGGCCACAGATGGAGATGGTGGAGTCTTCCTGTCCAGGGCGTCAGTTTTTGTTTTGTTTTGTTCTTTTCTGTTGCAGTGCCTTCAGCCCTATACTTGTTACTTTCTCCCCGTCTTTTCCATCTTAGGCAGTAATTACAGTTATTATCAAGCAATAATAATAGTAATTGTACGTCTGTGACAGAGGAGCTGGAGCAAGGGTGTACACAAAGGAAGATCAAAGTGAGGCCAGGGGTGGCTGGTTTCACAAATCAGCCCTGGTTAGGTGTGCCAGTTGAGTGCGTGGTGGTTTCAAATACTTGGCCCATGGACAAAAGGTTATCTTTCTGGTAAACAAGCTTACTTATAAGGATTCTGACCTTTGCTCTCGGAGAGTATGCCATTATAGCAGTTTACGAGGATTTTTCAGAGGGATCACAGACACTCTCACCTTCAAGGTGTTTTCCTAACCTATGACAATATCTGCCGTCATTTCTCTTTGGTGGGAAATGCAGATATAAGGTTACCTCTAAATCCACAAAAGAGAGGCCATATCCAGGAACTTGAACGCTACTTCTTGGGGAAGATAACTTTATAAAAAAAATACTTCAAAACTAAAAGGCAATTGCAGTATTGTATTTCATCCAACAGGAAGCCAGCCCTTCACTCGGAGAAGTAGGAGACACCTTTATTCACCCATGGACTAGAAACTAGCCTTGTGCTTTAAATGGCCCAGACCCCCACTCTACATTTTCTCACAGCTTTTTGCAGGTCAAGCAGCGAGATTGTCATCCCTGTCTCTGTGAACAATTTGAGAGTGGCCTCTGAGTCCTGTAATCACTAAAGGGAATTTAGGCGTGTTTACAGGGACAGATAGTTATGTAGGTAGATAACATCATACAAACACTTGGCAGGTAGCAATAAAATATATAGGCATTTGCAAATAATGTAAGGATTCAAGCATTATGCTGGCTTGCCCCTGTCATCTGACAGAATGCACTCAGAATGTCAGCCCAGGATTCCATGACTAGTAATCTGCACACAGGTGCAAAGGACCCTTTTAAAAGACAGACCCCTGGCTGGGGTTGGTGGCGCACACCTTTAATCCCAGTACCTGGAAGACAGAAACAGGTGGATCTCTGTGAGTTTGAGACCAGCCTGGTCTCCAGAACGAGTTCCAGGATAGGCTCCAAAGCTACACAGAGAAACCCTGTCTTGAAAAACCAAAAAATAAACAAACAAACAAAAAAACACTCCCCTGTTCACTTAACATCTCCTGCGGTTCCCCTCTTCTCGTCTGTCCTCTTGCTCTCTGTGTCACTCACTGTCTCTTTACCTTTTTTTTTTTCCTTCCACTTTACCTTCTCATTTAAGCTCTGTCTGTCAAGCATGTTTGTCCCCCGCCTAGGTCACCCTTGCTTGCCATGGAATCCGCCAAGGTTCCCCTAGTGCTTTTTTGTTTGTTTGTTTGTTTTTAATTTTTTTATTAGTTCAAGTTGGGAACAAGCTTGTTTCACATGTAAATTCCTTCTCCCTCTCCTCACCCCATCCCTCCTCCCCCACCCCCGACCTACACCCCACCCCATCCACCTCCCATTCT